ATTATTATTATTATTAAACTTTATTTGTACCCCGCTAGCATCTCCCGAAGGACTCGATGCGGCTTACAAAGGCCAAGGCCTCAATACACAACATAACAATACACTTAAAGCAAATTAAAAACAATTAAAGCAGTATTAAAACAACAAAAACCACAAGCAATAAACAAAACAAGATCAAACTGGGCCAGGCCAGAGTAAAGGGTACAGGATTAAAAAGTGCTGATGTGTCAGGTGATATGTAAGGATTATAGGGCAAATGCAGTGTGCAGTGTGCGGCAGTCTTAATTCTAATAAAGTGCGTCTGGGACTTGGTATTGGAGATTTCCTAATCGGGAAAAGCACATCGGAACAGCCAGGTCCTCAAGTTCTTTCTGAAGACTGCCAATGTAGGGGCCTGTCTAAGATCTTTGGGGAGAGTGTTCCAGAGTCGGGGGGGCCACCACGGAAAAGGCCCTGTCCCGTGTCCCCACCAAACGCGCTTGCGACGCAGGCGGGATCACGAGCAGGGTCTCTCCAGATGAATGTAGTGAGCATGTGGGTTCGTAGACGGAGATGCGGTCACGCAGGTAGGCTGGTCCCAAACCAGTTTATTACAGTTTTCCTTCAGGGAAACAGTTTTGGGGAAGGAAGAAAGGAATGAAGGCTCAATAAAAGGAAGGAAAGAAAGGAATGGAACAAGCAAGGAAGGAAGGATATTGTTCCATTATCTAAACCAGTAGTTCTTAACCTGTGGGCCGCGAAGATGAAAATCTGATCCTAGAGCCACCTTCCTCATTATTGATTTATTTTATTTTATTGCCACTCCTTTTGCACCACTTGCCACTCCTTCCCTTCCTTGTCACTGACCAGCCCTGTCCCCTTGGATAGACCACATCAACGCTAGATTGTTAAATGTGGTTTTCTGTGGGTGAGCAGATGGTGACTACTGAATGGCGTAAGTTCCATATCAGAAACTAGAGCCGATGTGGTCTATCCAATGCAATTTTCTGAATCATTCGAAAATACATCACACAGTCCTAGACGCTTGAGAAGTATTTCGACTTGTGATTTTGTGATACGAAATCCAGCATATAGATCTCGTTTCCTGTGACATACTGTGCTTTTGTGTCAGTTAAATAATATAGGCTTGGTTGATCAAGAAAAAATTTGGTTCTAAACCCGTTTCGTATCTAGGGGGCACCCGCATTTCTAATCTGAGAGGATTTCCGAAATTTCAAATTTGAATATTTACGAAATTTCGTAAATATACGGATTGATTCGTTAATGGTGGACGCAATTGCGCAATATGTTAAAAAAACCTCCAAACGGGACAGGGGGAACTTCTGAAGCTTCCCTCTCCCTCTGTTGTTGACTGTTGGTGTGATAAAACTAACAACTATATATATTATATTATGTTATCAAAAAACTGTCCCAAGCCCATAGCACGTCCAAAAGCAGATTAAGTCAGAATGAGATGTCCATCCAAAAACAATCCGAAGTCAGAATGGAGTCAGCACTTACAGGAATCCAGTCTTTAAAACGCTTTAAAACGGCTTGTCTTAACCCAGCTAAATGTCTTCCTGGCCCAGCAGCTGAAAACTATTATTATTATTCTATATTATATTATATTATTATTATTAAGAATACATGGACATCTGTCAGGGGTGCTTTAATATACAATTATATTAATATAATATAATAACATACAATTATAACATATAATATAATAATAATAAACTATAATATAATAATATACAATTATAATATAATATAATAATATAATATAATAATACATACAAAAATTGGAAAAATAGTTTCGATTCTTAATTACTCCTCACACTATTCCTGCATGGCTCGATATTGGATCGAAAGCTAATTTAAATACAAATTCATAACGAGTTTAGAAACTAACGAACGCGATCAACCAAGCCTAATAATAAATAATAGCAGCAATAGAAGCCATGTTTTCTTTCTGTCACTAAAACTCCTAGAAGCTATTCTTTCTCTAGCCAATTGAAAGAACTAAACTTTCCTTCTTGGTATCACTGGAGGCTAGATCAGGTGTCCTCAAATGTGTTAAGTAGGGGGCCAGTTCACAGTCCCTCAGACGGTTGAGGAGCCGGACTATAGTTTGAAAAAAAAAATGAACAAATTCTTATGCACGCTGCACATATCTTATTTGTAGTGCAAATAACCATGAAATAACAATACAATATTTCAAATGAAGAACAGTTATAACCGGCATAAACTTACCAGTATTTCAGTGAGAAGTGTGGGCCTGCTTTTGGCCGATGATGCTTTTGGCTGTTGTTGTTGTGTGCCTCCAAGTCGTTTCAGACTCAGAGCTACCCGAAGTCTATAAAGTTTAGGGCGAGTATAAGGCAAATGATGTTGGAAAGCTGCATCTGGCCCACGGGCTTTACTTTGGGGAACCCTGGGCTAGAAATCTTACCTTCTGCTTTTGCATCTCCAGAACAGAAATGAATGTCAAGAACAGAAGTTGCATTATTTTTTTTTAAAATTAATTACATTTGGCCCAGCCATAGGTTTTTAAACGTGTTACTGTTAATGTTTATTGCTTATTTTTGCTTTTGAGTGTATTTATTGTTTTGTATTATTGTTATTGTTTATTGGTGTATTGTGGGCTCGGCCTCATGTAAGCCGCACCGAGTCCCTTGGGGAGATGGTAGTGGGGTACAAATAAAGTATTATTATTATTATTATTATTACTTCCCTATACAAAAGACACTGAACAGAAACTGGCCTTTTGTGTTTTGGCTTCTAATGTGTTTTCTAGAGCAATATATTGTAAGGAATTCTTCCTTCAAGCTGTGAAGACCAATTTAACATAACCCAATAATGCATTGTATTGATGATTTGTACGGAATGTGTAGCTGAAATGCAAACCAAAGTTCCCATGAGTTTCCAGAACATGGCCAAGTTTCAGGAGTTCAAAAGTAGACAAAAGCTTTCCACTGTTAACAAGTCATATAGAAAGTTATATTCAGGTGAAAAATCTTAAAACCTTCAAAAGTCTTGTTCAGAGAGGCTATTGGTTTCAAAAATGCAGCTTTCACGAGATCCTTAAATACAATAAAATCCACGTTGCATAGTGATATTGAAATCCAACTATTGAAAACTTGCAACTTTTTGGCCCACATTTTAATAGGTATGTTGTTTGGATTGAGACATCTAAATGCACATTAGACATTTCACAGATTGTCAGAGTAAGAAATTACCAAATTAAAATGGAGTGAGCACTTGAGCCTGAGTTTCTGATATAAATTCATCTCCACAAAAATACAATTCATCTGTACTTATTCAAAATATTTTTCAAATTTAATCTTCACAATTTTTTCAGGAGTTAATTATTCCAAGGGGAAACCCAACAAAGTGATTATAAAGAACACCAATCCAGTGTTTTGGCTTTTTTTAATTAGTTCTTTGAAAATATATAGATACCATTTATCTGTACTTATTCAAAATATTTTTCAAATTTAATCTTCACAAATCTTTCAGAAGTGAATTATTTCATGTACAGAGTGTCAGGAGTACTTCCCTTCCTGGTTGGACAGTGTAGCTGGAGCCCTAGGAAGAAGTTGGATTTCTTCTCCTTCCAGTATTGCATTTGAAGGGAGCTTATACGGATCTTTTGAGAGTGGGCTACAAAGATGGAAGAGCCTTGCAAAATAGAGCAGAACTGTACAGTAATTTCAAAATTCAAATAATTTTTGAGCAGTGCATATCATGCATCTACTGACCACTTTCAGAAACAGGAATGCATGTAAGATAAGAATTAAAACCCTGATCCATTATGTTACTGTAACAGCCAACTGTTCTAGTATTGTTCATTTTTACCTAGCTTACACGGAAGCTGCAAAAGAAGGCCTTTGTCAGGAGAATGTTTCAAAAAGTCTGTTTCTTCAACACTCAGCTTTCCTGTAGGTCTTCACAGCTAAACATTTTCTAGGATAGCTGGTCTGAATGAGTTGTAGTGGAGAACCAACCAGCTTTCTTCTGGTAAGTATAACGTGTCTACTTTTCTCTGCATCCACCGCATAGACAGCGTTCTTACTACTACTGGTGAATGCAACACCTATGCTGATGTTGGCATTCAAGGGTATCTCAGCAAAGCAAAATTACCACCGACTGATATTTTGACCTGTATCATTCCATCAAGGCATATGATTGATAGAATATAAACTAATCTGATTACACAGTCAACATGATAAGGAAGACTGCAGTTACAGTAGACTTTTGAAAATCCACAGATCTTGCCAAACAGCACAAAACAGAGTTCTAATTTACAATATGAAGTCTTGATCACACTTTGCAGCTTTTTTTGTGATAAACTTCCCATAGATGAAACAATGTTATCACATTACTTTCTCCAATCACAGTATTCCCTGAAAGGCTAGGGAATGTCACACACAGCTGGATGGCTCTATTCCAAGAGATTCTGTTGCCATCCCCTTGCCAGTTACAAAACAAGATCTTGACAAGGGTGAAGTGTTAGCTATGTTCGTGCTCTACAAGTTCCTTACAGAAATTCCAGTTTATTTTAAGCTCTGAACTGCACAGAGGAAAGTCATACTTAACAATAAGCTGACATTCACTCTATCCAACTTACGAGGGACATTTTTAAGTAAGGTCCTTTTTGTTGTAGACACTAGTAGTTCGCGCGCATACCGCAACGAGCGCGTGCGTCGTGTACCGGCATGCCTCGGGAACAACTGTGCTCAGTTTCCGCTCTGTAGCTAACCTGTACGGTTGTGTTCTGTTCTTTAAAAATGTTTAAGACTATCAACTCACCCTCCGATGAATTTCTGCAGCAGGCAGGTTCCTTGCTGACAAAAACCGTATCACTGAGCGAACCTCACATGTGGAGGGTGAGTTGATAGTCTTAAACATTTTTAAAGCACAGAACAGAACCGTACAGGTTAGCTACAGAGCGGAAACTGAGCACAGTTGTTCCCGAGGCATGCCGGTACACGACGCACACGCTCGTTGCGGTATGCACGCGAACTACTAGTGTCTACAACAAAACAGACCTTACTTAAAAAATACCCCTCGTATAAAGAAGCATAAGCTTGCTTACATTTCCCTTTTGCTCTAATTAAAAAAAATCATTCTACCTGCAGGCACCTATCCTGAGGGAGAATATTTTCAGGCCACACAGGCAAGACCAGGTGGGAAATGCGGCTCCACAGCCCACTCAACTTGTCTATATCCATGTGGTTATAAGAACCTGGCATATTAGAGTTGATAAACTTCATCTGGAGGAAATCCCTTACTTTCACCTCTACATCCAACAGGCGAAGATTTTTTTGTAGAGACTCCTCTTCCAGGAGAACAGTTAAGAGTAGAGCCACATCCTTAAATGCTGCGTGTTCGTGGTCACAGTACTTGTAGAAGATCAGGGTGGAACCTGCAGGTAGCAACTCAAAGCGATGCACAACAGCTGCCTTCTTGCCTCCCTGGAATCCAGAGCTCAACATTTCATCGACCTTGAATTTGACAGTATCACTGTCAAGGGTGGCTTTTCTGGCCCCATCAATTTTTATTGTGGCAGCACTCAGAGATGACGAGAAGGCATCCGCAATCTGATTGCTTAAACATTTCAGGGAATTTTCAGCCTCTTTTGCAGCGGTAAGCAGTAAGATAGCTGGCTCCAAATGTGGTTGAGAAGAGTTGAGCCGTTTTTCAAAGGCAGTCTGGATTCTCTTCCACACCTGTTCATCTTGACTTGGGTAGTTATTCATGAGTTCTTTCATCTGGTTCTGGAAGGCTTGCAGGGCCTTATCACTCTCCAGAGTATGGGGAGACGTGTAATGAAATACGTACCACCCACCAGCAGCAAGGCAAGCTACTAGAAGTATCAGAATCATTAAAAGGGAATATACCCCATGAGACTGTGTAGGACCTAATGCACACAACCAAGGGAGAGAGAGTAGTAAGTAATGCATCAGTTTCATTATTCGAATTTAGTACTTTTAATTACTCCAGCCAATCTTCAATATAACCATTTCAGATGTGGGGGCTCAGTAAGGATATTTGGACTGTACAGAAATGCTTCAATCTCAGTAAAATGTACTTCAAAAAGCCCTAATTTAGATTCATGTTTCAATGAAAACGTTCGTAACGGAAATCTAAAGATTCTGAAAATCTTTGTAACACATATAACACTAGTAGTCAGCTTGGTCAGCTCTTAGTAACTTCTGTAGAGTCTCTGAATTTTTTTCAATACAAGTTTAGATTGTAAGCCTGCTGGGCAAATTAATGTTTTGTAAGCAAAACTTGAGAGTCTTTGTGGTTTAAGATATAATATAATGTAATATAAGATGTAATATAATATAATATATTGAATATACATATAATATTTATAATATTATAATGTAATGCAATATAATACTACTACTAGTAGTAATAACAATATTATATTAGAATTATATATTTACTGTATATACTTAAGTATAAGCCTAGTTTTTCAGCCCCTTTTTTAGGATGAAAAAGCTCCCCTTGGCTTATACTCGAGTCAAGGTTATTTATTATTTTACTCTGTTATTAGTATTATTTTTATTTCATGTATTATTTTACTGTCTTTATTATTACATTTATTATTTTACACTATTTATGATTATTATTGCATTTATTATTTTACTTTATTATTATTGCATTTATTATTTTACTGTATTATTACATTTATTATTCTACTCTATTATTACTGTTACTATTGCATTTCCATTATTTTACTTTATTATTATTATATTTATTATTTTACTCTCTTTATTATTATTATTGGAAGGATACGAAAGTACATTTACATTGAAGATATGTAATGATTTAATCAGAGTTGGGCAGTCTTATCTCAAGTTACAGTTTTATGTAAATATTTAAAAAACATTTCACCTTCTGATGCCTCAATTAATGTAATTTTATTGGTATCTATTTTTATTTTGAAATTTACCTGTAGTGGCTGCATTTCCCACCCTCGGCTTATACTCGAGTCATTATGTTTTCCCAGTTTTTTGTGGTAAAATTAGGTGCCTCGGCTTATATTCGGGTCGGCTTGTACTTGAGTATATACGGGTATATTACATGTAATATTACTAATAATATTAAAATATAATGGTATAGTACAATATAGTAATATTTAATGATATTATACTATGCTAATAATATAATATATTGTATGTATATCTTGTAAGCCACTCTGAGTCCCCTTCGGGGTGAGAAGGGCATCATATAAATGTCGTAAATAAATAAAGAGCAGAATATGGATGCTTTAAATAAATAAATGAACAAATATATTTATTTCTGCTCATTAAGAATTATTTTCTTAAGTCAAAAACCCATCAGATCCAACCAGTAGAGGCCCCAAGAAATAAGTCTCTATTTCCCTGGCCTTTATCCTTCCTTTTAGAGAATGCACTTCTCACAAAACAATATGCTGCATATTGTTACTAGACTGTAATTTTAATGCAAGATCACAGATTAGGCAAACAAGCTAAATAAAAGAAGTATTATAACAACATATTAAAATATCATTAACAGAATTTAAATGTTTAGCATTAAACTAAGAGACACAGCCACAACGAGGTGTAGTCCAGAGGAAGGGTGAAGTCTTACTTTTGGGCACTTTTTGTGGAAGCTTCTTCGGTATAGGAGCTTAAATTAGAAACAGAAAAGACAATATTAAAGTTAAAATTCCAGTTATTAACTTTATGATAAAATAACATACTATAATATGAAATGTTTAGATTTACTATAGGACTGTTCAAGCAATGTAAAATGTGAACAGCATGCAATGCCGACAAGTATCTTCTCTTGAGTATTCAAACTCTCTAAATTACAATCAGCCCTCTGTATTCAGATTCAACTATCCATGACCTGAAAATACCTACCCCACCCAAAAAAGCTCAAAAGCTTGATGTTGCTATTTTATGTAAGTGAAGCCATTTGCTACAATCTATACACATAATAAAAGTGAAAATGTGTGTGTGTGTGTGTGTGTGTGTCTGAGGTGTCCACTGAGATGTCCACAGATTAGCTCCTGCCTCCACAAACAGATATAGCTCCCACTACTAAGGAGACACCAATGCCCCTCCCTCCAATGACACTGCAGGTTATAGTGAGTGCCATGAACATGTACAGGAGCCCTGCCAATGTCCTCCACAAACACAATACTGCCCACTACCCAAGAGAAGGCTTTCATACGGGGACAATTCCATCCTATGCATTGTCAAACTTTTTTCAAGGCTGGAATTACTGGGTTGTTGTAGGCTTTTCGGGCTATATGGCCATGTTAGAACAACCTCTGAGGATGCTTGCCATGGATGCAGGCAAAACGTCAGGAGAGAATGCTTCTAGAACATGGCCATATACCCCGAAAAACCTACAACAACCCAATTTCATCCTAGATTTTATGTGTTTCCTCTACCACAGACATCTTAGTATTTTTTATTGTCTTAATTGGTATGGAATTTGCATGTCCCTGCCCACTGCCTATCCCTTAACCACTTTCTTATTCTTTCCTATGGCACAGCAAACAGAGGAATTGATCAGCAGCTGAACATACTGGAGAGGTTTGGGGAGAATTCACCATAATTTACAGGAGTTGTAGGTACTGGGGTGTATAGTTCACCTGCAATCTAAGAGCACTCTGAACTCCACCAATGATGGACCTAGAAATAACTTGGCACACAGAACCCCCATGACCAACAAAACATACTGGAGGTCTTGTAGAGGAGTTGTAGTTCACCTACATCCAGGGTGCACTATGAACCCAAACAATGATGGATCTGGACCAAATTTGGCATGCATACCCAATATGCCCAAATTTGAATACTGGTGGGTTTTGAGGGGAATTGGCTTGGACATTTTGGAGTTGTAGGTACTGGGATTTATAGTTCACCTGCAATCAATGAGCACTCTGAACTCCACCAAAGATGGAATTGGACCAAACTTGGCACACAGAGCCTACATGACCAGCAAATAATACTGGAGGTCTTTGGTGGAAATTCACCGTGATTTGGGGGAGTTGTAGTTCACCTACATCCAGACAGCATTGTGAACCCAAATACCGATGAATCTGGACTATACTTGGCATGCATACGTGATATACCAAAATTTGATTACTGGAGGGCTTGGGGGAGGCTGACCTTCCTTTCTGGGAGTTGTAGTTCACCCACAATCAGAGAAACCGTGACCTCCGCTGATGATGAACCTGGGCCAAACTTGGTACATAGAACCCCCATGACTAACTCAACCTACTGGATGGGTTTGAGGCGACTGACTCACCATAGTGGGAGTTGTAGTTTACCCTACAGTCAGAGAGGACACTGAAACCCACCAATGATGCATCTAGAGCAGTGGTTCTCAACCTGTGGGTCCCCAGATGTTTTAGCCTTCAATTGCCGGAAATTCTAACAGCTGATAAAATTGAGAACCACTGATCTAGAGCAAACTTGCCCAACATAACAAACTTAAGTACTCATGGGAGCTTTTCGAGGTTAACCTGCCATGATACAAAATGCAGGAGTTGTAGTTCACCCACAACTTTGTGCATTTTGTACAATTTAAAAATTGCCTTTTTCAAATAATCTGGGCAACACCAGGTACCCAAGGAACAAAACTCCAGTGCGTACCAAGGGCCCACATTAATGTTAATCAATGGAGTGTGAAAGAATTAACAAAACTAGGAAGAGACAAGTAGTTTTGCAACACGTTTAGTGAGAAAAGCATTATTTACAAATCTCTCCCCCCCCCCCCCAAAGGGAAGGGAGATAAATTATCACACTTCAAAAATTAACCAGAATGTTGCACAACAGAAATTGATATCAGAAATAAAGGATCTTTGCTAGATATGTAAGATTTTGATAGATCCCTACCAAACCTTCTCCCCAAATTCTGCAAACTTAATATCACTTGGGCAAGTAATATTCAGAGGTAGTTTTGCCAGTTTTTTCCTCTGAAATCAATAATCTATACTTGCTCATCATAAAACTTTAACCTGAAGGTATGAACATGAATGACCAAAAAGGAAACATGCAAATGACTAACACATATACAGATGGTAACTGCATACATACTTTGTGTTTTAGGCCTCACATGTGACTTCTGATAATGATCTGGTGACTTCTGAACAGAATGCAGTGACCCTAAGAAAACACACAGGGATTAAAAAAAGCCAACAGTTGTATTAGAGGTATAACCAATATGTCCTCTCTTTTAATTCTATGTCCAAATGCTTTCTGTAATATCAAGATCTGATCTAGTTTCGTGCCTGTGTACACATGTCCCACAATAGCTGGAGATGATATTCTCAAACATGATGTTTACTGTAAAATAGTTTACATTTGGCAACTGGAAGATTTACTCTACATATTATGCAGATTTCTACAAGACTGAACATCAGATTTTAAAATATCAACGTTCAAACTGTTATGCTGCCAATAAATCACAATTGCAATAAGCAAGGGGGAGAGAGATAAGTGTTACCTTTTATTACTGGTCTGCTACGCATCTGAGAAGAAGTATTCCAAATTTCAGGTTTGCTCTTACCAATTTCATTAGTTTCAATTTCTGGAAAAAAATGTTAGAAATGTTTCTTCCCTTAAAAACATATGCCAAAGTATATTCGACTTTAAAAAAAAAATTTTCGTCTCAGGAGCAACTTGAGAAACTGCAAGTCGCTTCTAGTGTGAGAGAGAATTGGCTGTCTGCAAGGACGTTGCCCTGGGGACACCTGATTGTTTGATGTTTTACCATCCTTGCGGGAGGCCTCTCTCGTGTCCACACATGGGGAGCTGGAGCTGACAGAGGGAGCTCAACCCGCATTCTCCATATTTGAACTGCTGACCTGTCTGTCAGTAGTCCTGCGGGCATAAGGGTTTAACCCATTGTGCCAACAGGCTATTTTTGTTTCAACAGATTTAACATAGCTGCATGTATTCAATTTGAAAGAAAAATTATCTAACCTGGTTTGTTACCTGTAGAATCTTTGATTTGGCCATAAGAAAATCCTATTGAAACAAGAAATTATGCATCAATAATCAATCTAGTATATTATCTAATAAAGAGAAATGTTGCATGATATCACAAGGGAAAAGCTACATTTATTTCAGCAGTAGCTTCTATTTTTATAAGCCACTTGGAGCTGCAGTATAAACCTCAGTTTCAGGATACAAGTCAAGCAATAAATATAGTATCTGGTTATCAATTAGAATCTCAAACAGGTGATCAAAGTTATATTTTAATTTCCAAATCTATTCTAAACATGACTATCTACTTGTAAGCCTACTCTATATTGTGCTACATTATAGCATGATGTACTGGTTTGAGTGTAAGAACTACCATTCTGGAGATCAGGGTTCAAATCCCTGCCCAGCCATGGGCAGGTCACACTCTCTCAACCTCAGGGAAAAGCCAAAACTTTTAAAACTTTCTGAATATACATGTTCTTTATTTGTTTGTAACCTTGCTGTATTATGCTATTTTAATGCAGATGTGGGCGCCCATGGAGGGCTAGAAAACCAATTCTATTCCTCCTAACTCAGTGCAGGCCAAATCAATGCTATTAACACAAACTAGAAAATATACAGTGATCACTTCTGATCATTGTTGTTGTTGTTTTGTGGGAGCTGTTTTGAGGTGATGCCCCCTAGCCTCTTCCTTACAAAAAAAGGGGGAAATGTGTTTTAAATCAGGGATCCTCAAACTAAGGCCCAAGGGCCAGATACGGCCCTCCAAAGTAATTTAGCCGGCCCTCACTCAAGGTCAACCTAAGTCTGAAACGACTTCAAAGCACATAACAACAACAACAACAACAATCCTATCTCATCAGCAACAAGCAGGTCCACACTTCCCATTGAAATATTTATACGTTTACATTTGTTAAAACTGTTCTTCATATTAATTAATAAAATATCTGCAATGTGCATAGGAATTCATTCATGGTTTTTTTCGAATTATAATCCGGCCCTCCAAAACTTTGAGGGACTGTGACCTGGCCCTCTGTTTAAAAAGTTTGAGGACCCCTGTTTTAAATTCTCAAATGTCAGAGAGGGATTAGTGGGAATTACAATGGCCATAACAGACCTTCTCAAAAGCTGCAGCTGAATAATATGTCAACAACACCCAACAATTTTTTAAGCCTTTCATGTCATTCACCTTAAGAGTCCTAGTTAGTAATACATGCCTTGACTACATTATTTATTATTATTTATTTGGAGCATTTCTATTCTGCCCTTCTCACGCCGAAAGGAACTCAGGGCAGAGCACAACATACGCACGGCATATGCATTCCATGCTGGAATATAAAATAACTATAAATACACACAAACACTACAAACAGTTACATCTACTTTCAAATCAGTTGTTTAAATTCATCTTGAAACACAAAACTGGCTCCAGTCAGTGGAGTGGGTTTCCTATAATTGCCTTATTGCATTGTCCCAAAGGCTTGGTCCCACAACCAGGTTTTTACCATCTTTCTGAAGGACAGAAGGGAGGGGGCTGATCATCCGGGATTGCCATAGCACACTGGAAACCTCAGTGGGTCCAAAATCCTGCAGCCAGGCTGCTGACCGGGAATGGTTATAGGGAACACTTAATTCCTCTACTAAAACAGCTTCACAGCTACCAGTTTGTTTTTTGACAGAATAGCCTTAACTTCATACGCCTAGTTTGGGGCTTTTAATTTTTTGCTAACAGATCTGTGTAAACCAGTGATTCCCAAACTTATTTGGCCTACCTCCTGGAAATCAATTTTTCTAAATCTTCTCTTCTTTCTTTTATGCTTTCACACCCCTATTACAGTTACATCGCCCCCAAATGCACCTGTGGCCATTATGCGGTTCCAGATCTCTGCAGCACCCCTGGGCCATAGTTTGAGAGCCCCTGGTCTAGACTACTGCTTCTTATACTGTGGGTCCTGAACCCAAATCGGGTCCCCTTAGTTTAATGTTGGGGTCACAAAAAATTGGCAACAGTAAAAGGTTTCTGAACGCAGTTCGTTTACACCAGTGATTCCCAAAGTGGGCGTTACCACCCAGTGATTCCCAAAGTGGGTAACGCCCACTTTGGGAATCACTGGTGTAAACGAACTGCGTTCAGAAACCTTTTACTGTTGCCAATTTTTTGTGACCCCAACATTAAACTAAGGGGACCCGATTTGGGTTCAGGACCCACAGTATAAGAAGCAGTAGTCTAGACCAGGGGCCCTCAAACTATGGCCCAGGGGCCGGATATGGCCCTCCGAGGTTATTTACCTGGCCCTCGCTCATGGTCATCCTAAGTCTGAAACGACTTGAAAGCACACAATAACAACAATCCTATCTCATCAGCCAAAAACAGGCCCACACCTCCCATTGAGATACTAATAACTTTATATTTGTTAAAATTGTTCATTTAATTATTGTTTTAAGTGTTTTGTACTACAAATAAGATATGTGCAGTATGCATAGGAATTCATTCACGTTTTTTTCAAATTATAATCCGGCCCTCCAACAGTTTGAGGGACTGTGAACTGGCCCTCTGTTTAAAAAGTTTGAGGACCCCTGGTCTAGACTATCTGAAAATCATCTACACACTTCCCCAAGTCTTAAGAACCTCAAGGGAAAGCTTTTGTATGGTCTCAGCATTGACACAGCTTAGGACATGTGAGAGGGCCTTCTTAGGGCCTGCTCCAAAGCTCAGGAGTCCCCTGCCACAGAGGGCTAGTCTGGTCCCAACTCTGCTCTTTTTGCATGTTGTTAAAGTTCTTTTTATTTAAATAACATATGGAAAGTGCTTGATTACAATAAAGATTTTTCTAATAATGTATGTGTATTGTATTTTATGGTCATATTATAAAACCATTTTATATTGCTTTACATTATAGATGTTTCAATAAGTTAGCTAATGAAATTCTTCATTAACATTTTCATCATGAAGTTTTTAGTTCTATCTTGTTTTAATTGTGCTGTAAGGCACCTTGGCCCCATGTTGCAAGGTGGGCATGATATAGTATTTAAAATTAAAAGGAACAGAAGTGAATATGAATATTTCAGTAAGTACAATTATCTGATTGGAATGTTGTAGTTCTCATTTACCTTTCTTTGGGCTTCTAATAGCAGGTCGAAGAAGATCAGAGTCACTTGGGATGCCAAATGATTTTGGGCTTTCTATCAAAGGAAATAAAGTAAGAATGAAATAAATTCCATTATCAAATAGCTACAAAAATAAGAAAAGCGAATTAAACTATCACCAAATAATATGAGAAAACATGTAAAATTTGTTTTTTTTATAATGGATAACTATAATAAGAACACATGTATACAATGGTCCACACTCTGGTTACATCCCCTATAGACTACTGCAACGCTCTCTACGTGGGGTTGCCTCTGAAGACTGCCCTGAAGCTGCAATTAGTCCAACGCTCAGCAGCCAGGCTCCTGACAGGAGAGGGGTACAGTGAGCGCACAAATCCCTTGTTGTGACAGCTCCACTGGCTGCCAATTAGCTCCCGAGCACAATTCAAAGTGCTGGTTTTAACCTACAAAACTCTATATGGTTCCGGCCCAGGTTACCTGTCCAAACATATTCTCCCCTATGAACCATCAAGGGTGCTAAGATCTTCTGAAGAGGCCCTGCTCTTGGTCCCACCACTTTCGCAGTCGCATCTGATGGGATCGAGAGACAGGGCCTTTTCTGTGGTGGCCCCCCGGCTATGGAACTCTCTCCCGAATGAAATTAGATCTGCCCCCTCCCTCCTGACCTTTAGGAAGCTAGTGAAATCTTGGCTATGAAACAAGGCTTTTGCAAAATGTAACTGAGATCGGTACCAAAGTTATTGACCACAATATGCAGACTGAATTGGACATTTTTTTTCTTGGTGAATGGCTTATATGTATTTTATCTTATATGTATTTTGATTCATTTTTGATGTATGATGTTTTAGATTTTTATTGTTAGTATTGAATTCTTGCTGTTAGCCGGTGTGAGTTCCTCTACGGAGGTAGAGAAGATTGGGATATAAAAGTTTTAAATATATTTAAATAAATAATCTACAAAAGCATAAAATAAATGACTGGGACTAAATCTAATTGTTCCTCCCAGAAAAGTAATTTTATCAAACCAATTAAGCAACATTTTTCAAGTAACCGATGTATTCCGCATTAACTTCCTACATCTCTGAATGTAATGAGATTCTAAAAGTACAACCTTTACAGTTTTTGAAAAGGGCAAAAATCACTGTTCATTCTGTGAAAAGATCATCCTGTTGAATCAACCAATGTCAAACACAATAGTTGATAATTTCTATAATCAAGATGACTAAGGATTACCTGTTTGTGTTTGGCCATTTGAGTCTTTGTTGACTGGTTTCCTTTGAGCTTTGGTCAAAGAGAGTTCATCTTCAAAATACAGAATAAATCAATTAGAAATGAAATGGTAAATAATCAATTAAACCAAGTAGAGTAGGTAGAAGCATAATGACACAGGTTAGAATTCAAAATACAATTCAGAGCTCCCATTTAATTCTTTACCATTTTCCATCAGTTTCTAGTTATTTTACCATGATTTCCTGCACACTTCCTTTTTTAACACCAATGAGTCATCCTTTCCTCAATATACCACAAGGCATTCCTTTTTATTGCAAAAGCAGAATTTACAAAAGCAGAAACTAGGGGGGGTCTGATTTTTTTTTTGTTGTGTCAGGAGCAACTTGAGAAACTGCAAGTCACTTCTGATGTGAGAGAATTGGCTGTCTGCAAGGACGTTGCCCAGGGGACACCCGGATGATTTGATGATTTTTTTCATCCTTGTGGGAGGCTTCTCTCATGTCCCCGCATGAGGAGCTGGAGCTGATAGAGGGAGCTCATCCGCTTCTCCCCGGATTCGAACCTGCGACCTCTCGGTCTTCAGTCCTGCCGGCACAGGGATTTAACCCACTGCGCCACCGGGGCTCCAGGGAGATCTGATACTTTTCATTGTTAGTTTAAAAATGGGTACATGAGGTCCTCCACATAACACCAGCAGCATCTCAACATAGCCAGTGATGAGGGATCCTGGGAACTGCAGTCTCAACATGTGGATATCTGCACATAGCTGGTTCCAGTCATTCCCCATCTTAACCAAAATTTGGTTAAATCTGCAAGTCACCTTTTCTATTTCGCCTATCTCCACCTCATGCTGAGAAGTATAATTTGCACATCCAGAGATTTAGAAAATCTAGGAATTTGACAAAAATCAATTGATTTTTCCAAAAACAATAACAATAAAATATATGTTGTAGGGTTCTGGCTAACCTAGAGATGAAATGATGTAAACAATAAAAAGAAACTTGATGTCTCTTTTCTTCAAAACAACTTGAAAAGAGGTAAAGGACCTGGTGGAAAATCAGTGTTTATCAAAACAAAAGAAGGGACAGGGACGAGGGGAAGTGTGTAACTGTACCACTGTTTTTTATCTTAGCATGCACTTGCATGGATATAAACCTACTTATCTGGCTGCAGTAGGAAGTGATGTCCAGACAAGATATAAGGCATCTTTATAGGAGTAAGACTATGATGGAATGTGTGTAATAATAAATAAAATGTATTATTATCATCTGCCTCTCCTGACAGCTTGAGGAGACAGGTGCTTGGTGGTAGGATTGTCTAGTAAGCTTCAAGGCTGAGTAGTTAAGCGTATTTGTATCTCCTACCCAAATACTTTTAACTACTTTTAATTACTTATATCCTTTTACAGGGACACATCACCAACATGCCAAACCAACCTCTGGTCGCTTGAATCATCTTCATGGCATTTTGCTCAGTGGCTGCATTTTGATCACTTGTGAATGTGATCTGTCATTGTATAGATAATTCAAGGAGATGGCTCTTTTAGTTCTTTTAAAAATATTATTTATGAAAACATTGAAAATTTTCCCCAAAATCTGTGGATAAGTGAAACATTCTGAAACTTGATGGGCTAACAGTGGTAAATGTGTTCTACCACTGTAGCACGTTTCACCCCAATAACTGTAAAAACAAGAAAGGAACCCCTGAAGGTTTCACCACTTGCACAATTACTATCATGAAAAAGTAACAAAATTTTGTTACTTTCATTATAGTAATGAAACAAAATGTCAGCACCCCCAAATTTTGTAATGAGTTATGAAACATTTTTTTTTCATCGATCACACAGCCCTAGTTGCTCTGATATACTCTCTCACTGGAAATGCAATATAAAGAACCTTTGTTTAAAAAGTATTCATGACACAAGGGCCAGAGTCATTCTAGGCTGAAGGAAAATGAAACTCACTGGGGTGGCCTCCCTCTTAACCTGACCTGCCTCACAAGGTTGTCGTTTTCATGAGGATAAAGTGGAGACAGAGCAGGAGGAGTGCAATTTAGAGCGCCTCAAATTCCCAAGCTACAGTTGTGACCCAAAATGAAGTAAAATAATGGAGGAACAGGAGGCTGCATTTACCACCTTATCACCTTGAGAGGGGAAAGAATGTGTGACTGTCCCAATAGAATAGAGAATTGCCCCTCTTATATCGTCAGCAGTTCCATTTCACATTCTGCCTCCCCATCACACTCACACATGGAAACTTAAGCACTAGCAATACATTCACCTTACATTCATCACAAGCTCAGTATTACTTTTTTCTTTTTGACCAGGAAAAGCAACAATATCCGAAAGCCAAGAGATCCCTTGCCATGCCCTTACATTGAAAGAGACTGGCACCTGATTAAAATCATTTATTTCCATGGGACCCTATGGTTCTGCATCTAAGCCCATGAGATACAAGATATAGTGATTCAGGTTAAAACCATTGCTGCTGGCTGGGTAATGAAACAGGACCTGAAACTGTGATGGTTCCCACTGCATCTGTTTTTCAGTTGTGGACATGGGAGTAAAATAGAATAGCTTTATTTGTCATTGTGCTATTGCACAACAAAATTACATGCCTTTCCCCCACACCCCACAAAACATACCCATTCCTCCAAACTTCCACCACCACTGCACAGCCCCAATACTACATCAGTGCAAAACCATGGAGTTCAACATAGCCACAGCTCTAGGATAAAAGCTAGCTGTCCTTGCCTTTGTACCGTCTGCCAAATGGCAATAATACAGAAAAAAATATGACAGGTGAGATAGGTCCCCAAGAATGTTTTGAGCTTTCTTAAGGCAGGAGGAATTACAAAATTTTCCCGAAGAGGGGAGAAAGAGGGCAACTAACAATTCACTGTGAAGAAGTGGTGACTCTTTGGTGCGCCTTCCTCTCTGCCACTGTGCTGCTACCAAATCATGCACAGATGCAGTAGATTAGGACACTCTCTACGGCACAGTAGTAGAAAGCATCCAGCAGTTTTTCCTTCAGTTTGCTGACTGTATAACCTCCTTGCTTCAAAAGACATGCTCAAAAGAGGCAGGAGCACACACTGAAAAACAGGAACACACACAAGACAAGGGGAGAAGCAGCCACCTGCACAGCCATCAGTAAAGTGTCATAAAAGGTAGGAGCTCTGAAGAGGATTGCTGCCCTGTGTTCAAAGTTCCCTCCTTTCAGGACATTTCTGCCTCTTTTCGAACCTGGATCATGTGATGAGGTCCGTGCCACTCTATACTTGAAAAGAGGCTGAAATGCCCCACCAGTGGGAAAGTTCTCAATGTGATAAGGTCGTAAGAGGGAGAACAAATTGAAACTGAATCCAGACAAGACAGAGATCCTCCTGGTCAGTTGAAAGGCCGAACAGGGCATAGGGTTACAGCCTGTGTTGGATGGGGTTACACTCCCCCTGAAGACACAGGTTTGCAGCTTGAGTGCGATCCTGGATTAATCGCTGAGCCTAGAACCTCAGATTTCGGCAGTGATCAGGGGAGCATTCGCACAGTTATAACTTGTGCACCAGCTGTACCCATACCTTGGGAAGTCTGACTTGGTCACAGTGGTCCACACTCTGGTTACATTCCATATAGACTACTGCAATGCGCTCTACATGGGGTTGCCTTTGAAGACTGTTCGGAAGCTGCAAATGGTCCAATGGGCGGCCTCCAGGTTACTAACAGGAGTGGTGCTCAGGGAGTACACAACTCCTCTGTTGTGTCAGCTCCACTGGCTGCCAATTTGCTACCAAGCACAATTCAAAGTGCTGGCTTTAGCCTATAAAGCCCTAAACCTGGGGTCCTCAAACTTTTTAAACAGAGGGCCAGGTCACAGTCCCTCAAACTGTTGGAGGGCCAGATTGTAATTTGGAAAAAAAAAGAATTCCTATGTACACTGCACATATCTTATTCGTAATGCAAAAAACATTTTAAAACAATAAAATAATTAAAATGAAGAACAATTTTAACAAATATCAACTTATTAGTATTTCAATGGGAAGTGTGGGCCTGCTTTTGGCTGATGAGATAGGATTGTTGCTGTTGTTGTGTGCTTTCAAGTCGTTTCAGACTTAGGTTGACCCTGAGTAGGGGCCGGGTAAATGACCTTGGAGGGCCATATCCATCCCCGGGCCTTAGTTTGAGGACCCCTGCCCTAAATGGTTCCGGCCCACCTTACGTGTCTGAACGTATCTCTCCTTATGAACCATCTAGGAGCTTAAGGTCATCTGGGGAGGCCCTGCTTTCGATCCTGCCTGCACTGCAAGCATGATTGGCAGGGACGAGGGACAGGGCCTTCTCAGTAGTGAGCCCCCAGCTATGGAACTCTCTCCCCAGGAATATTAGATTGTCCTGCTCCTTCCTGACTTTCCAAAAAAGGTAAAAACTTGGCTCTTTGAGCAAGCTTTTGAGAATGCAGAGGAAAAGATAACATGAAACTATGAATCACGAACATGGAATGGCCAGGAAAACAATTTTAACAAGATCACACTGGTGACTACATGTTTTAATGGTTTTTACATATGCTTTATAATGTTATGTTGATTGTTTTTAATCACACTTTTATGAATGCATGGCATCAAATCGTGCCAATCTGTAACACGTCCCAGAAGCACTTTATTAGAGACTAAGATTGTCCACACATTGCGCTTATCCAAAAATCCTTATATCTCATTCAGCATACACAGCAGTTTTTAATCTGTACCCATCACATTTGGCCCGGCCTAGTTTTTATTGTGTTACGGTGTACTGTTTTTATTGCTTACTGTTATTGCTTAATGTTTTGATTTGCTTTTGGTTTATGTGTATTTGTTATATTGTTGTTTTATTGAGGCCTTGGCCTTTGTAAGCCGCATCGAGTCCTTCAGGAGATGTTAGCGGGGTACAAATAAAGTTAATAATGGGTTGTTGTAGGTTTTTCCGGGCTATATGGCCATGTTCTGAAGGCAATTTTTCTCCTGACGTTTCGCCTGCATCTATGGCAAGCATCCTCAGAGGTAGTGAGGTCTCACTACCTCTGAGGATGCTTGCCATAGATGCAGGCAGTCAGGAGAAATATTGCCTCCAGAACATGGCCATATAGCCCGGAAAAACCTACAACAACCCAGTGATCCCGGCCATGAAAGCCTTCGACAATACAAAGTTAATAATAATAATAATAATAATAATAATAATAATAAATAACCCGCCTTGAGTCACGGTATGGTTGAGAAAGGCGGACTATAAATGTCGTAAATAAAGACCAAGCGGGCAGTACTTACGGTGAGGGAATATCCCGCCTTCTGAGAAGCCGCCTTCCTCCTCCTCCTCTTCCTCCTGGTACTCTTCCTGGGGCTGCAGCTGCTGCTCCTCGGCCTCATCCTGCTCTTCGGCCCTCCTGTACGGCGTGGAGGGTTTCTGGCGGGAAGAGCGCAGGCGGTAGGCGGGCGCGTCCTCCTCCTCCTCGTCCTCTTCCTCCAGGCCCTCTCTCCTCTCCTGCCTCGGCTTCATCCTCGCCCGCTTCCCCAGCGGAGTGGCAAAAGGCCCTTCCGCCGAGAGCTCCAGCACTTCCTCGGAGAACCTCACTTCCCGCCTCGGCCGAGGAGAGGAAGGAGTCGACGTCCGGGGCCGGAAGTTGACACTGCTGTTGCTCCCGCGGCCATTTTGGGAAGCGCTTTCCCTCAAAGGCCGCCTGGGCGTCACGTGACCGAAGAGCCTTCCCTCCCCGCCCGCGTGCATGGCGGGCCCCGCCCACGCGCCGCTCAGTCTAGTCTCCCTTCTGCGCCTGCGCGGCTTGCCTTTTGTTGGCTCAGTTACAGAGCACCCCCTTTTCCTTCTTCCTAATATTCAGCCCAGTCTTCCTCAGCAGGGCGCCTCTCCCCCTTCAAAGGCCTTCGGAGCCTCGGCAGGGTCCCTTAGCCAGGCAAAGGGGCTCCTCTCCGGCTTTCAGAGGGCAGCTGCTCCCGCCTCCGCTTCCCTGGGGTCCTGCTACATCGCAGGGGTTGCGTTTGTTGTTGTTGCCAAGGTGAGAAAGTGCCTTCAAGTGAAAGAAAGGCCCGGCCGGTCCCCGAAGCATTCCCGGCCTTGGAGTCAGCAAATGAGAAAACAAGCCCGGAGTCCAGCCCATCAGCTGCTTGTGGGAGAAAATAGGTCATCAGGGAAGGGAGAGATTTAAAGCACCCTCGCCTCCATCTGCAGGCCAGGCTCCCAGGGCAGCAGCAGCAGCAGGAATCTATCTCTATCTATCTATCCTTATCTATCTATCCTTATCTATCTATCTAATCTATCTAATCAGTGGTTCTCAACCTTCCTAATGCCGCGACCCCTTAATACAGTTCTTCATGTTGTGGTGACCCCCAACCATAACCCTAACATTATGAATCACCATGTAAATAATGATCTGCAGGATGTATTTTCATTCACTGGAGCAAATTTGGCACAAATAACCAGTATGCCCAAATTTAAATACTGGTGGGGTTGGCGGGGGAATTGATTTTGTCATTTGGGAGTTGTAGTTGCTGGGATTTATAGTTAACATGTAAACAAAGAGCATTCTGAACCCCACCAACAATGGAATTGAACCAAAGTTGGCACAGAGAACTCCCATGACCAACAGAAAATACTGGAAGGGTTTGGTGGGCATTGACCTTGAGTTTGGGAGTTGTAGTTCGCCTACATCCAGAGAGCACTGTGGGCTCAAACAATGATAGCTCTGGACCAAACTTGGCACGGATACTCAATATGCCCAAATGTGAACATTGATGGGGTTTTGGGAAAATAGACTTTGACATTTGGGAGTTGTAGATATTGGGATTTATAGTTCACGTACAATCAAGGAGCATTCTGAACCCCACCAATGATAGAATTGGGCCAAACTTCCCACACAGAACCTCCATGACCAACAGAAAATATTGTGTTTTCTGATGGTCTTTGGCGACCCCTCTGACACCCCTTCGCGACCCCCTCAGGGGTCCTGACCCCCAGGTTGAGAAACACTGATCTAATCTGTCTAATCTATCTATCTAATCTATCTATCTAATCTATCTATCGATCTAATCTAATCTATCTATATAAATAAATAAATAAAAATGTAATGTTCATTTGTGGGATTATCAGAAATCAAAAACCAGTGGGCCAATTGACACCAAATTTGGACAGCATACACCTAACAACCCAATGTATGTCCTTCACTCAAAAAATTGATTTTGTCATTCGCATTTGTGGGATTATCAGAAATCAAAAACCAGTGGGCCAATTGACACCAAATTTGGACAGCATACACCTAACAACCCAATGTATGTCCTTCACTCATTTTTTTGTCATTTGGGAGTTGTAGTTGCTGGGATTTATAGTCTACCTACAATCAAAGAGCATTCTGAACTCCATCAACGATGGAATTGAACCAAATTTGGCACACAGAACTCCCATGACCAAGAGAAAATACTGGAAGGGTTTGGTGGGCAGTGTCTTGGTTTTGGAGTTGTAGTTCACCTACATCCAGAGAACACTGTGGACTCAAACAATGATGGATCTGGACCAAACTCTACACGAATACTCAATATGCCCAAATGTGAACATTGGTGGAGTTTGGGGAAAATAGAATCTTGACATTTGGGTTGTAGTTGCTGGGATTTATAGTTCACCTACAATCACAGAGCATTCTGAACCCCACCAATGATAGAAATGGGCCAAACCTCCCACACTGAACCCCCATGTGGGCCACAGCGACGTATGGCAGGGGATGGCTAGTATATATATATGGCAGTGGGGACTCAGGGCCCTTCCACACATCCCTGTAGCCCAGAATATCAAGGCAGAAAAACCCACAATATCTGCTTTGAAATGGGTTATCTGAGTCCACACCCAAGATATGTGGGATTTCCTGCCTTGATGTTTTGGGATATAGGGCTGTGGGGAAGGGTCCTATGAATAAGGAATGAAATCGAATCATGGGTCTTGTCTTTGAGCATTCCACCCACCTGTATAAAATCCACATTGAACTGGGATATATGGCAGTCCGGACTCAGATAATCCAGTTCCAAGCAGATATCTGCCTTGATGTTCAAGGGCCCCTTCCACACAGCTGAATTAAATCCCACATTATCTGCTTTGAACTGGATTATATGACAGCGTGGACTCAGATAACCCTGTTCAAGGCAGGTTTTGTGAGATTATCTGCCTTGATATTCAGGGTTATGTGGCTGTGTGGAAGGGCCCTGTGTTTGTTCTTGTGAAAAATTTTCATGGCAACAAGAAGGCAGGCAACTATACACAACAAGTAGAGGATAAGCACTTTCATTTCAGCAAGCTTGGCCACAACTTGAATGTTAAAGTCCATTATCTGTAGTCACTCAGGCCCCACACTTCCATATAAAATTCAGATTATCTTCTTTGAACTGATTGTACAGCAGTGTAGACTCAATTCAGTTCAAATCAGATAACATGGATTATCTGCATTGATAATCTGGGTATATGGCAGTATAGAAGGGGTCTTAGGCCCCATCTACACTGCCATATAAAATCCAGATTATCTGCTTTAAATTGGATTATATGGCAATGTAGACTAATATAAATCCAATTCAAAACAGATAATATGGATTTTATATAGCAGTGTAGATGGGGCCCTAGACCCGTTTCCAGAGAACTGTGGACCCCTCTACACTGCCATATAATCCAGATTATCCATGCAGATAATCCACACTATCTGCTTCCAACCAAAATCGGGAGGGTAGACATTTGTTTTCACACTGGCTGCTGAAAGATGTTTTCTATTGGCCCATTTGGGGGGGGGGGGTGTTTCCCAGGCTCCCCTTCCTGTCATTTTAGGCATTTAAGTTATTTTACTCTAGAGGAGATGCAGACAGGTGTGCACTTTAAGGAGGCTTATTATKTGTTTCTATTCGAGAGGAGGTGCTCGGCTGCAAGCAGGCGCAGGTGCTTTCTGCACGCAACACACGCACACACACTTTCCAAGGCAAATAGCCAAGTTCTCATTCTTACTCTAGAGGAGGCGCTTGGGTGCAGGCAGGCGTGTGGACTTTCTGGTTGTGCATGCCACACATACATGCACCCTGTTTCCAAAGTAAGGAGGCAACAGGTAACTTCTAATTCTTACTCTAGAGGAGGTGCTTGGCTGCATTCAGGCTTTCTGAGCCTGAATGCCACACACACATGCACTCTCTTTCCAAGGCAAGAAGGCATGGAGCGCCACATACGAAAAGCAGGCAAGGAGCCGGGATTGGCTCCTGCTTGCTTTCGTGCCGAGCTGATTTTCCTGCCATTACATGCTCCCGAAGGTAATCAAGTAACGAAAGAATGGATGAAACAAAGGAAAATGGTTCCGCACACAACTCTAATTAAAGAGATATGTGGCTCTCTTACATTTGGCCAGTGAGAAAACTGGTTAGCCTCTTTGTCCATACACAAGACTCTTTGTCTTGTGTATGGTTCTGCGAGCTGCAACCATGAAACTTGTCAATTAGACAAATCCATCGAGAATGTCATAGATTAGACATTTTTGCAAAAGAGTACTCAGGCTATCGATAGCTGTTAGTTATGATGGTAAAACGTTGCCTCTAGAGTCAGAGGTAGAATGCTTCTTATTGCTAGCTAGTGGAGGAATGATAGCTAATGAAGGCCCTTGTTTTTTGTTGTGAGCTTCCCTGGAGTATCCAGTAACCTCCTGTGGAAAACTTGATATTGACCTAGATTGTTCTGATTCGGCAAGATTCCCCTTGTGTTACCATTGTGGCACTATACTGTATTCATGGCAGCAACACTATTTGTCATTGTCACATGAATGGGCAGTGCTTTCTCCTTAGCTCTGAGAGTGGTCATGCACATTCCACGATATCCAAACAGTTCTGTAAACAGATGTCAAGAGGCTTGTATTTAAAAATAATTATGAGCTTATGTTCTAATTTAAGTGGTTTTAAATTTAAAATAGCATGGTTCAGCAGCTAGGATGAGTACTGTAAATGTACTTTGGGACATTACTACAATTAGTCATGGCTTAACTGAGTAGCCTTCAGCATATTTTTCATGGAGTAGTAGACCATGATGGCTTTGAAAGGCAGCAGATCACAAGAGCTGTCTTTATAGACCTGTCAGCGTCTTACTATACTGTGAACCACCGCCTCCTCCTGACAAAAATGTATAATATCACAAAGGATTACCACTTCACCCGCCTCATAGGAAATCTGCTACAAAACAGGAGCTTTTTTGTTGAATTCCAGGGCCAGAGAAGCAGAGGGCGGAAACAGAAGAACGGCCTGCCTCAGGGGAGCGTGCTTGCTCCATCCATGTTCAACATTTACACAAATGACCAGCCATTGCCAGAAGGGACAGAAAGTTTAATCTATGCTGATGATCGTGCCATCACTGCTCAAGCAGGGAGCTTTGAGATGGTTGAATAGAAGCTCTCCGAAGCTCTAGGTGCTCTTACTGCCTATTACAGGGAAAACCAGCTGATCCCTAACCCATCTAAAACACAGACATGTGCTTTTCATAGAATCATAGAATCAAAGAGTTGGAAGACACCTCATGGGCCATCCAGTCCAACCCCCTGCCAAGAAGCAGGAATATTGCATTCAAACTCACCCCTGACAGATGGCCATCCAGCCTCTGTTTAAAAGCTTCCAAAGAAGGAGCCTCCACCACACTCTGGGGCAGAGAGTTCCACTGCTGAACGGCTCTCACAGTCAGGAAGTTCTTCCTCATGTTCAGATGGAATCTCCTCTCTTGTAGTTTGAAGCCATTGTTCCATGTCCTAGTCTCCAGGGAAGCAGAAAACAAGCTTGCTCCCTCCTCCCTGTGGCTTCCTCTCACATATTTATACATGGCTATCATATCCCCTCTCAGCCTTCTCTTCTTCAGGCTAAACATGCCCAGCTCCTTAAGCCGCTCCTCATAGGGCTTGTTCTCCAGACCTTTTATCCTTTTAGTCGCTCTCCTCTGGACACATTCCAGCTTGTCAATATCTCTCTTGAATTGTGGTGCCCAGAACTGGACACAATATTCCAGGTGTGGTCTAACCAAAGCAGAATAGAGGGGTAGCATTACTTCCCTAGATCTAGACACTATGCTCCTATTGATGCAGGCCAAAATCCCATTGGCTTTTTTTGCCGCCACGTCACATTGTTGGCTCATGTTTAACTTGTTGTCCACGAGGACTCCAAGATCTTTTTCACACGTACTGCTCTCGAGCCAGGCATTGTCCCCCATTCTGTATCTTTGCATTTCGTTTTTCCTGCCTAAGTGGAGTATCTTGCATTTGTCCCTGTTGAACTTCATTTTGTTAGTTTTGGCCCATCTCTCTAATCTGTCAAGATCGTTTTGAATCCTGCTCCTGTCCTCTGGAGTATTGGCTATCCCTCCCAATTTGGTGTCGTCTGCAAACTTGATGATCCTGCCTTCTAAACCTTCATCTAAGTCATTAATAAAGATGTTGAACAGGACCGGGCCCAGGATGGAACCCTGCAAGCATCCTGAGCTCTGAGGACTACCCTTCAGGAGAGAATGCTTCTGGAACATGGCCAGACAGCCCGGAAAACTTACAACAACCCACTGAAGCTTTTGACAATACAACAACAATAATCTATATACATAAAAATGTAATGTTCGTTTGTGGGATTAACGGGATTGCGGGGTAAAAGAACCCCAAATAAATAAATAAATAAAATTAACAGAACTCAAAAACCACTGGACAAATTGACACCAAATTTGGACACAAGACACCTAACAACCCAATGTACGTCCTTCACTCAAAAAAAAATGATTTTGTCATTTGGGAGTTGTAGTTGCTGGGATTTATAGTTCACCTACAATCAAAGAGCATTCTGAACCCCACCAACGATGGAATTGAACCAAACTTGGCACACAGTTCTCCCATGACCAACAGAAAATACTGGAAGGGTTTGGTGGGCAGTGTCCTTTGGTTTTGGAGTTGTAGTTCACCTACATCCAGCGATCACTGTGGACTCAAACAATGATGGATCTGGACCAAACTTGGCATGAATACTCAATATGCCCAAATGTGAACACTGGTGGAGTTTGGGGGAAATAGAATCTTGACATTTGGGAGTTGTAGTTGCTGGGATTTATAGTTCACCTACAATCACAGAGCATTCTGACTCCCACCAATGATAGAATTGGCCCAAACCTCCCACACAGAACTCCCATGTGGGCCACAGCAACGCGTGGCAGGGGGCGGCTAGTACTTTTTTAAAAGTGTGAAAGGCTAAAGCTCCCCCACCCTTCCCAGAGTCTGAAATAAATGCCTTTCCCACGGGATTTCGTCACGGGTGCTGTTTTGTTGAAGGCGAGCCCTTCGCCCTTTGGTCTCCTCCCCCTGGGCTTCAAGAGATCAGGCAGGAAGGCGCCTCGTGGAGGAACCTTCGCCCGGGAGGAGAAGGGCGGGGAGCGAGGGGACTACAGGTCCCAGAGTTCCCTGGTGACGTCACCGGGAGGGCGGGGCTGGCTGGCGGGCTGCGGGTTGGCGGCTCTGCCTGTCCGGCGGCGCCCCTTCCTCCTGGGAAGTTGGGATGGGACGCTCTTGGCGGAGGGAGGGCGCCCCAAGTCACTTCCTGCTGAGGAGAGAAAGTGCCTCTTTCGCTTTTCCTTTCTGGCCGAAGAAGGGAAGAGGAAGGCAGGTAAGGCGAGGAGCAGGACCCCCAGATCTGGCCCCATTTCCTCCCACTGGCTGGCTCTTGTGATCACCCTGCTTCCCTTCAAGAAAGAGGGAGAGAATCAGAGAATAATAGAGTTGGAAGAGACCACCCAGTCCAACCCCCTGCCATACAATCAAAGCGTCCTGACAGATGTTTCAAAGCCTCCCAAGAAGGAGCCTCCATCACACTCCAATGCAGAGAGTTCCACTGCTGAACAGCTCTCACAGTCCTAGTCTCCAGGGCAGCAGGAAACAAGCCTGCTCCCTCTTCCTTATGACATAGAATCATAGAGTTGGAAGAGACTTCATGGGCCATCCAGTCCAACCCCCTGCCAAGAAGCAGGAATATTGCATTCAAAGCACCCCCCACAGATGGCCATCCAACCTCTGTTTAAAAGCTTCCAAAGAAGGAGCCTCCACACACACTCCGAGGCAGAGAGTTCCACTGCTGAACAGCTCTCCCAGTTAGGAAGTTCTTCCTCATGTTCAGGTGGAATCTCCTTTCCTCTAGTTTGGACCCATTGCTCCATTGCATCCTAGTCTCCAGGGCAAAAGGAAACAAGCCTCTGCAATCCTGCTGTCACCTGGGATTGCAACATTGACAATCCATACTTTGTTTTTTAACATGATTATGAGGTCAGGAGTATTGTGCTCCAGAACTCTGTCTTTCTGAATTCGGAAGTCCGGGAGGAGTTTGACATGTTCATTTTCTGTAACATTTTCTGGCTTGTGATCCCGCCAGTTCTTTGTCACAGGCAGGTGGTATTTGTGGCACAAGTTCCAGTGAATCATCTGAGCAACGGTGTTATGCCTCTGCTTGTAGTCTATCTGCGCGATCTTCTTGTAGCCGCTGAGGATGTGATCTATTGTTTCATCTGCTTCCTTGCAGAGTCCACATTTGGGATCTGTCGTCGACTTTTCAATTCTGGCTTTGATGGCATTGGTTCGAATAGCTTGTTCTTGGGCTGCCAGAATCAGGCCCTCCATCTCCTTTTTCATTATTATTATTATTATTATTATTATTATTTACTGTATTTATATACTGCCCTTCTCAGCCCTCAGGTGACTCAGGGCGGTTTACAATGGCAACGATTCAATGCCCCAAAACACCATAAAACATTTTAAAACATTAGCACATCATAAAAAAACCATAACAAGAATATTAAAACAGATCATTTGCATCTCTTAATTAAAAAACATTGTTCCATCTCGTCATCCAGTTGTTCCAATTCCTATGTCTTTTGCCTTGCATTTTCAAACACTTGCTCAAACTCTTTTCTGAAATGTTAAGAGGGAGGGATTGCTGTTTAATGACTGTTGTTATAATGGATACCCTCCAGGTCTCTGGGTCCTGAGATAATTATGTATTGTAGAAGATCAGTAATTTTGCTTTGGAGCCTATTAATAACTTTCAGATGGATACCAGTGACTTATTTGTAGCAGTTCATCAATTAAGTCTTGACCTTCCTTATGGCTGCAACTATTTAGCTCAGCTTCTTACCTTCTCCACCTGGAAACATTAATTCAAGATTGATTTTTTCCCTTGCATCTTCAGCTGTGAAGAAAATTCATTGGCCTTCTCTACAGTTTCCACAGTAGAGTGCATCCAGATGATATGGAGAAGTACGAAACCCTTGTGATGATAAATGTGTGATTTCTGTTAATGATTTGCTTGTTTACTATAATTGTCAGAGATACTTTAGAATCTGGAATTTGTGGTCTAATCAGTTTTCAAGATACAGCTTCTATCTGTATAAATAAGATTGGAACTACACTGCCATATAACATCTATATTATCTGCTTTGAACTGGATTATATGACAGTGTAGACTCATATAATCCAGTTCAAAGCAGATAATGTGGATTATATGGCAGTGTAGCTCCAGCCTCAATCAGTTCCTGCTTCTGACTGTGGTCTCAGTTATTCATAGTTCTTAGAAGTCAACTACAACAATGCTGACATATTGGCATGTTTCTTAAGATTTGATATTTAGCTTGGGTACCTGGCATTGACCAGGTCATTTGAAAAAGTCATTTTTTTTAAATTTTACAAAATGCATAAGGTTGTGAGTGAACTACAACTCACACCATGCCAGGTTAACCCCCAAAAAACTCCATCAGTACTTAGTTTGTCATGTTGAGAAAGTATGCTCTAGATAGATGCATCATCGGAGGGGTTCAGTGTGCTCTCAGGCTGTAAGATGAACTACAACTCCCACTATGTTTATTTATTTATTTATTTATTTATTTATTTTGGGCATTTGTACCCCGTCCTATCTCAACCTCCGCAGAGGGACTCAGGGCGGCTAACAAACTGGCACCCCATGGTGCCCACAACCGAAACATAAATATACAATTTAAATAACAATATAGCAACAAAACAGTATAAAACAGCTTAAAACAATATAAAAACAGTCAAACAGTCGCCGGTTTAAGTCATCGTCCAAGGAGCAGTCAGTCAGTTCCATAAAAGCCATCACTGTCAGCAGGTCAAGCTAATCTACAAAGGCCTGATCCCATAGCAAGGATTTCACTTGTTTCCGAAAGGTCAAGAGGGATGTAGCAGACCTAATTTCACTTGGGAGGGAGTTCTACAGCCGAGGGGGCACCACAGAAATTCCACGCCAAAGGAGAGTGTAAGAAACACTGAGATGTCTGTGGTGGATGAAATAGTCTCTGTGTGAAAAACTTCACTTGAGTGGTGGGCAGTATGGCGTTTGTGGAGGACATCGGCAGGGATCTTGGTCATGTTCATGGTGCTCTTTATAACCTGCATTATCATTGGAGGGAGGGCCTTTGCTGTCTCCTGTCTCCTTAGCTGTTTGTGGAGGCAGGAGCTTGTCTATATAAGTGGACACCATAGCCACATACACACATACATATTTTCATTTTTATTATGTGTACTAGCTGTACCCGCCACATGTTGCTGTGGCCAACCTTCCCTTCCTCTTTCTCTCCTCCTTTCCCTCCTTCCTTCCCTCTCTCTTTCATTCCATCCTTCCCTTCTTTCCTTTCCTTTTCTCCTTCCTTCTCTACCTCTTTCCTTCCTCCCTCCTTTTTCTTTTCCTTCCTTTTCTCTCTCTCCCTTCTCTACCTCTTTCCTTCCTTCCTTTTCTTTTTCCTTCTCTCCCTTTCTCTCTCCTTTCCCTGCTTCCTTCYCTCCCTCTTTCCTTCCCTTTTTTCTTTRCTTCTCTCCTTCCTGCCTTCTCTACCTCTTTTTTTCCTTCCCCCTTTTCCTTTTCCTTTCCCTTTCTCTCCTTTCTTCCTTCTATACTTCTTTTCTTCCTTCCTTTGCTCTTTCCTTCCATGCTTCCTTCTCTCTCCCTCTCCCTCTCCCTCTCCCTCTCCCTGCCCRGCTCTCTTTCTTTTTTTCTTTCTCCCTTTCCTTCCCTCCCTTTCTGTAGCTTTTTGTCATTTAGCTTTTTTGGGTTTTTGAGTCCTTGCCGCTGTTTTTGTTTTTTTTGGAGGGGGGTTTACGAGTGGTGGTCACTCATTGGTCTGTTAGGGGTATATTGTCCAGAATTTCGTGTCAATTTATCAAGTGGTTTTTGAGTTATGTTAATCCCACAAACGAACATTACATTTTTATTTATTTACCAGCCGTCCCCTGCCACGCGTTGCTGTGGCCCACATGGGGGTTCTGTGTGGGAGGTTTGGCCCAATTCTATTGTTGGTGGGGTTCAGAATGCTCTGTGATTGTAGGAGAACTATAAATCCCAGCAACTACAACTCCCAAATGTCAAGATTCTATTTTCCCCAAACTCCACCAGTGTTCACATCTGGGCATATGGAGTATTCGTGTAGAGTTCGGTCCAGATCCATTGAGTGCACAGTGATCTGTGAATGTAGGTGAACTACAACTCCAAAACCAAAACTGCCCACCAAACCCTTCCAGTATTTTCTGTTGGTCATGGGAGAACTGTGTGCCAAGTTTGGTTCAATTCCATCGTTGGTGGGGTTCAGAATGCTTTTTGATTGTAGGAGAACTATAAATCCCAGCAACTACAACTCCCAAATAACAAAATCATTTTTTTTGAGTAAAGGACATACATTGGGTTGTTAGGTGTCTTGTGTCCAAATTTGGTGTCAATTAGTCCAGTGGTTTTTGAGTTCTGTTAATCCCACAAACGAACATTATATTTTTATTTATATAGATTTAGATAGATAGATAGATAGATAGATAGATAGATAGATAGGGAGGCTTGTTAAAAGAACAAAACAGAATCAAAACTCTGATTGTTACTATCTGCGCCTACCAGGGCTTGTTCTACCATTAGACAAAGTGGGGCAGCTACCTTTTTAAAAAGTATGTATTGTGAAATTGTTTCTTCGGTTTTTATTATTGTACTTATACAGTTATAGATTAAAGATATTTGAGAACAGCAAAATATAAAACGACTAGCTTTACAAATGTCATTGTACAATGTAGTCTATTCATGCTTACTCTGAATTGGCTCAAACTGAGTTCACGAAAATATTTCCAAGAAAATGATGGTAACATTGCAAGTTTTTATTTGCTTAATATGTTGTCATTTCCAATGTGTATTTTAGTCTTTTATCTCTTATCTGGAGAAACTTTATTTGTTTTCTTTATTTTTATTTGCCAAGACTTTGAGAGAATGATATGCGCAGCGTTGCTGCACCTTGACCATCATTCAACATAGACAAAAGACTGCTTATTGACTGAGCCAGAAAGCGAAACTAAACCAATAAACGAGAGCAAACTTCAGGAGAAGATGGCAGAAAAAATCATACAAACCACTCAAAAAGGTATGCATGGCTATTATTATTATTATAGTTGGTTCAAATCATATGCTGGAAGTAATTTGTTCAAATAATATACAAACCCAAAGATATGTTGGGCAAGTCGGCTTGCTAACAAAAGACCTTCCTTATAAATGTACAGCAGAGTAACTTATTAGCAGCAGCATGACCTAGGACCAGTAGACAAAAATCATAAAAAGAACAAAAAAAAAGACACAGACCAATGTTATATCTTGCTTGGGAAGCTTTTCTTTATAGCAAAATAATATGGTTGCACTATTTACAAAAAAAAGGTTTCCACAACACAAATATACTTCCTTCTTTGCTTCCACGCTGGTCTTCTTTCTTGTGAAGATAAAAAGCTTTGCTCTCACACAGCTTCTTCTCACACTAAACTTAAACAGGAGTGTGTTGATGTATATTTTTATTCTTATAGTTATGTATTGTTTAGACAATGGTTACTAGCGGTAAGTATGTAGAATTGTATTTTATTAGAGATGATAACTGGCTTGGCTTGCCTTAAGCTGAGTTGCCATAGTAACGGGGGCGGAGCCAACTTGCGCTGCCTCTTGGCAGCGCAGCTTTTTGAAAGTGGTCAGTCTGTAGCCAGAGAGTTACAGAAGAGATCTGATCTGTGAATCAGGAGTCTGTAGCCTGAGAGTTACAGAATAGGACTGATCTGTAGATCAGCAGCTTGTAACCGGAAAGTTACAGGAGAGGATTCTCTAGTGAGAGACTCAAGGAACGTATCTGTAGTTGTCAACTACAGAAGTAGTTGATCCTGTGTGGAAGTGGAAATCCAACAGGAATCCTGTGGTGATAGAACACAGGGAGGACTGATTCTTTGAATAAGAATCAAGATTTGGCTTGGAGCCAATACTGTTAAATAAGCCACTTAGCTTATTTGTATTACCAGAATGGTCATTAAAGGAAGAAACATCTGCCTAAAGAAATCTTTTGAAATCTGTTTAGTGCCTAGAGTCGTTCAAGAAACCCTGTAAATGTAACCAACTAAGTTTGTGCCTCTAGAGAGAAGTAACATTGAATCTATTCTACTCCTGGGTTGTTGTAAGTTTTTCCGGGCTATATAGCCATGTTCTGGAGGCAATTTTTCTCCTGACGTTTCGCCTGCATCTATGGCAAGCATCCTCAGGATGCAGGCAAAACGTCAGGAGAAACATTGCCTCCAGAACATGGCCATATAGCCCGGAAAAACCTACAACAACCCATGGATTCCGGCCATGAAAGCCTTCGACAATATATTCTACTCCTGTTTTATTCCAATAAACTTGTTACTGTTTTTTCACAAGCCTTGCCTCTGATACAGTTTCTTCTAAGCCAAATAGCCCTGCACAAGAAGAAGGACCAAATTAGGGTTATTAAACGTAAGCCATGCTATCAAAAATAAATAAACCTTCCTTAATTAGTGGTCCCTTGACAACCAGCTCTTAAGTTGATATTGATAATTACACGGCTTCCTCGCAAGGAGCTTCACGCAGTAGTCTTTTATGCACAGCAGTCTTTTACACATAGCAGCCTTCACACTGGAGCTTTACACACAACGCCTTCAACCTGGGGTTTCTTTCACCGAAGCCTTCTCACACTGAGGCCTACTAACACAGTGAGGCTTCTCTAACTGAGGTTTACATCACACTGAGGCCACTCTCAGACTGAGGGCAACTAACACTGAGGCGTACTAAGCTAGAGACACGCCTGCTTATATTGAACTGCAGCTTTTGCTAAGTCGTTGCATCCATTTGACCCTTTCAGTGCTTGACCCACATTTTTGTAATTAAAAATGCCCAGTTAATTTTTAATATTTCAGACAAGCTATACAGTGGGCCGCTGCTATCCACTGGAATTTAGTTCCCAAATACCAAAATCAGTGGATTCTCAAGTCCCATTATATCATTGTAAAATAGTGTTCCTTATATAAAACAGCAAAATTAAGGTTTGCTTTTAGGAGATATCTATCTATCTATCTATCTATCTATCTATCTATCTCAAGGCATGGATGGCTGAATCTGTGAATACAGAGAGCTGAATAGTCTCTGTACATGCTCTGGTTACATCCCGTATAGACTACTGCAATGCTTTCTACGTGGGGTTGCCTCTGAAGACTGCCCGGAAGCTACAACTAATACAACGAGCGGCAGCCAGATTACTAACGGGAGCGGGGTACAGGGAGCATACTACTCCTCTGTTGCGCCAGCTCCACTGGCTGCCAATCAGCTTCCGAGCACAATTCAAACTGCTGGTGTTGACCTATAAATCCCTAAACGACTCTGGCCCTATTTACCTGTCCGAACGGATTCTCCCCTATGAACCATCAAGGTTGTTAAGATCTTCTGGAGGGGCCCTGCTCTCGGTCCCACCGCCTTCGCAATCGTGTTTGATGGAGACGAGGGACAGGGCCTTTTCGGTGGTGGCCCCTCGGCTTTGGAACTCCCTCCCGATGGAGATCAGATCTGCCTCCTCCCTCCTGATGTTTAGAAAGCTGGTAAAAACATGGCTTTGGGATGCTGCATTTGCAGAATGATGACTGAGTCAATAACTGCTGACCTTTCGCGGATGGCAATGAATTTGTGATTCTTTTTGATGAACCGATTTTTGCTGTAACTTGTATGAATTGTATTTTAATGTATTTTATATTGATGATTTATAATGTTTTTCTTATTGTATTGAATTTTATGTTGTTAGCCAGCCTGAGTCCCTCCTCAGAGGTCGAGAAGACCGGGTTATAAAAACTCTAAATAAATAAATAATAATAAATAAATAGTCCAAACAAAACATTTTTGAAAGTTTTTGTTAGGTTACTTACTATGAAAGAGTCATTTTCCATTTGGGAAATAGTAAGTAACCTAACAAAAATTTTCAAAAATGTTTTATTTGTACTATTCTCAGTCATAACATGACTGGCTGAAAGCATGGTGTTGTGAAATATATTGTTTTACTGATTAAAGATACTTTAGGCCACCTTTCAGCCAGGACTTTACAACATGGCCTACACAGAATAATTACTGGTAAGATAATTTTAAAATCAAAACAAAAAACAATAAAACATTACAATATATGAAAAAGTAACACCAATAATTTCTTTCTGTGTGCCTTCAAATATTTTTTAATTTATGGTGATAATAAAATGAGCCTGTCGTGCGGTTTTGTGGTAAAATTTGTTAAGAGGCACTTGCCTTCCTCTGAGATTTGAATCCGGGGGTTACAGGATCTGATCCCCGGTTTTCTGCTTTAAACTGGATTATATGAGTCCTCACTGCCAGATAATCTGGGATAAACAGAAATCCTGGGATCAGATTCAGGGATATGGGGCCTGTCTGGAAGGGCCCCTAGTGTCCTAGTCCAGCACTTAAACTCAATATTTATTTATTTTATTTATTTACAGCTTTTATATTCCACTCTTCTCACCCCGCAGGGGACTCAGGGCGGATTACAGTGTACACATATATGGCAAACATTCAATGCCAATTTTTGACATACAAACATATACAGACATACACAGAGGCTATTTAACTTTTTCTGGCCGCCAGGGGAGCTGTCGCTTTCATCGTCCATCTGCGACGCTGATGAAGCACTTCCGCATTCCCCGCATGCTTCCCCGCTGGAATGCTTTGCTGGAGTCTTCTTTATGGCCTCATAAATCAGTTAATTTAGCCTCCCCGCACTTTAAGGTGGTACCTAATTTTCCTACTTGACAGATGCAACTGTCTTTCGGGTTGCAAAGGTCGACAACAGGCTACACAAATTGGTTGGAAACCCACTCCAACCCGGGCTGGCTTCGAACTCATGACCTTTTGGTCAGAGTGATCTTAATGCAGCTGACACTCAGCCAGCTGTGCCACAATCCCGGTGCAATAGGTTAAATTCAGAGGAGTCTTGAAACGTTTTTATAAATTGCAACTTCAAATCACTCGATCTTTGCACAATGACCCTTGTGTTTATGTATTAATTTATTCAGACTTCCCTGAAGAAAAGGGCTCTCTGCCACAGAGGAAAACGATTATCCAGCCACCAAATAGTGAAAATATTATCTCCAATACTCAGCAAAAGCCCTTAGATGGAATTCAAATGAAGAAAGAAACTGCTGAGCTTCCAAGGATTTTCCCAGGTTCAGTGGCCTTCCCAGAAGGAAGCTCAGTGGACAATGATGTGGTCAGTTCTTCGGAGGAAAAGACTGAATATTCAGCCCAAGTTGCCCTACAAGATTCTTCAAGGACAGAGAAAAACAGTGTGTCTGAAATTGTCCAAGAAGAAAAATTAAGTTCATTAGATCAACAGAATCAGCACTCATTGAAACATCCTGAAGACACTAAGGAGGATCTCTTCAACCAGGAATCAGTAATATTAGATCCAAAGCCTGAAGATCCAAGGAGGAATGAGTCTTTGACAGAAGGTAAGGCAGTAGCCTCCCTGGTGAGGAAACCCAACAATCTGGTTCATACTGATTTTTTAAAAAAAATATATGCTACACTTTTTTTAGTAGTGTGCATATAGGAAAGAGGTCTACCTGAACATTTCCAACAGAAATCCTCACTTAGGATCAGTGAGACAAAGTGTGCTGGAATTCAATTATTTATTTATTCATTCATTTATTTGCGATATTTATATACCGCCCTTCTCAACCCCAAAGGGGACTCAGGGCGGTTCACTCTGTTGGCAACAATTCAATGCCATCGATAAAAACAATATAAAACATTAAAATTGATCCTCCCCAGATAAAAAATTAAACAGGCATATATACGGCAAACATTCAATGCCGGGACACACATTCATATACGCATATATAAAAATTAAAAGAATTTATCTCAATATTAAAATACACCATTTAAAGCTGTAGAAGGGCCCTAAGTAAACATAATTGCTATTGAAAGGAAGAAAAACCGTGCAAACCATTACAACATGAATATACACCCAACATGAATATACACCCCTGCCCATCCTGGCTTTTGAAGGAAGCCAGAGGGGGATTGGCCAAGTGGGTAAAGGTGGTGGTTAATGCCTCCCTTCGGGAAGGCAGCATTCCAGCGAGCTTAAAACAAGCTATAATAAAACCGCTGTTGAAAAAACCATCACTGGACCCCACTCAATTCGTCAACTATCGGCCAGTTTCCAATCTCCCCTTTTTGGGTAAAGTCCTGGAACGTGTGATGACTTCACAACTCCAGGTATTCTTGGAAGACATGGATTATCTGGATTCGGCACAGTCTGGCTTTAGGCCGGGACATGGAATTGAAACAGTCTTGGTCGCCTTAGTGGATGATCTACGCCAGGAGCTAGACAGGGGGAGTGTGTCCCTGTTCGTCTGCTGGACCTCTCAGCGGCTTTCGATACCGTCGACCACGGTATCCTTCTGGGACGCCTCGCGGGAATGGGCCTTGGAGGTACTGTTCTGCAGTGGCTCCAGTCCTTCCTAGAGGGTCGATCTCAGAAGATGTTGTTGGGGGACACCTGTTCTGCCCCACAACCATTGTCTTGTGGGGTTCCACAGGGATCAATATTGCCTCCCATGTTGTTTAACATCTACATGAAGCCGCTGGGGGAGATTCGGGGTACGGTGTCATCTGTACGCGGATGATGTCCAACTCTGTCACTCCTTTCCACCTGCTACTAAGGAGGCTGTCCAGGTCCTGAACCGGAGCTTGGCCGCTGTAACGGTCTGGATGAGGGCGAACAAATTGAAATTGAATCCAGAAAAGACAGAGGTACTCCTGGTCAGTCGTAAGGCTGAACAGGGCATAGGGTTACAGCCTGTGTTGGACGGGGTTACACTCCCCCTGAAGACGCAGGTTCGCAGCTTGGGTGTGATCTTGGACTCGTCACTGAGCCTGGAACCCCAGGTTTCAGAGGTGACCAGGGGAGCATTTGCACAGTTAAAACTTGTGCGGCAGCTGCGCCCGTACCTTGGGAAGTCTGACTTGGCCACGGTAGTCCACGCTCTGGTTACATCCCGTATAGACTACTGCAACGCTCTCTATGTGGGGTTGCCTTTGAAGACTGCTCGGAAGCTTCAAATGGTCTAGCGCTTGGCAGCCAGATTGCTAACAGGAGCGGCACTCAGGGAGCATACAACTCCTCTGTTGTGCCAGCTCCACTGGCTGCCAGTTTGCTACCGGGCACAATTCAAAGTGTTGGCATTAGCCTATAAAGCCCTAAACGGTTCTGGCCCTACTTACCTCTCCGAACGCATCTCCTCCTATGAACCGACTAGGACACTAAGATCATCTGGGGAGGCCCTGCTCTCGGTCCCGCCTGCATCACAGGCGTGCTTGGCGGGGACGAGAGACAGGGCCTTCTCAGTGGTGGCCCCTCGGCTGTGGAACGCCCTGCCTGCAGATATCAGATCGGCCCCCTCCCTGCTGGCGTTTCGGAGGAAAGTGAAGACCTGGCTGTTCGAACAAGCATTTGATTAAACAGTGTAATTGAACATAGGAATACGGAATAATGGATGATGAGACTGGATTCTGATTTTACTGTTGAGGTGCTAATGATTGTTATACTGATGTTTAATGATTTATGTTACAATTGTTTTTAATTGCCCTATACTTGTCTTGTGATGTTTTGTATCGATGTTGTTCACCGCTTTGAGTCGCCTGAGGGCTGAGAAAAGCGGTATATAAATAAAGTATATAAATAAATAAATAAATAAGCAGTATGCCCTCTGCAAACAGTTACCTGAGTGGCTTTGAATTTTTTTACTTGAATTGCAACTCTCCAGGTTCAGTGGCCTTCCAAGAAGGAAGCTCAGTGGACAATGATGTGGTCAGTTCTTCGGAGGAAAAGACTGAATATTCAGCCCAAGTTGCCCTACAAGATTCTTCAAGGACAGAGGAAAACAGTGTGTCTGAAATTGTCCAAGAAGAAAAATCGAGTTCATTAGATCAACAGAATCAGTGCTCATTGAAACATCCTGAAGACACTAAGGAGGATCTCTTCAACCAGGAATCAGTAATATTAGATCCAAAGCCTGAAGATCCAAGGAGGAATGAGTCTTTGACAGAAGGTAAGGCAGTAGCCTCCCTGGTGAGGAAACCCAACAATCTGGTTCGTACTGATTTTTTTTTAAAAATACACTACACTTTTTTTAGTAGTGTGCACATAGGAAAGAGATCTACCTGAAAATTTCCAACAGAAATCATCACTTAGGATCAGTGAGACAAAGTGTGCTGGAATTCATTATTTATTTATTCATTTATTTATTTGCAATATTTATATACCGCCCTTCTCAACCCCAAAGGGGACTCAGGGCGGTTCACTCTGTTGGCAACAATTCAATGCCATCGATAAAAACAATATAAAACATTAAAATTGATCCTCCCCAGATAAAAAATTAAACAGGCATATATACGGCAAACATTCAATGCCGGGACACAAATTCATATACGCATATATAAACATTAAAAACATTTATCTCAATATTTTATTTATTTGTCGTGTCAGGGCAACCAGTCAATTATATTACATTTCCCACAGAACAAAGCAAACAAATGGACAAAATACAAAATTTGTGAGTTTGGTAGTTGATTAAATGTCCTTTGACCAGTAGCTGGCCACTTGGAGTGCTTCTGGTGTTGCCGCAAGAAGGTCCTCCATTGTGCATGTGGCAGGGCTCAGGTTGCATTGCAGCAGGTGGTCAGTGGTTTGCTCTTCTCCACACTCGCATGTCGTGGATTCCACTTTGTAGCCCCATTTCTTAAGATTGGCTCTGCATCTCGTGGTGCCAGAGCGCAGTCTGTTCAGCGCCTTCCAAGTTGCCCATTTTTCTGTGTGCCCAGGGAGTCTCTCATTTGGTATCAGCCATTGGTTGAGGTTCTCGGTTTGAGCCTGCCACTTTTGGACTCTCGCTTGCTGAGGTGTTCCAGCTAGTGTCTCTGTAGATCTTAGAAAACTATTTCTAGATTTAAGTCGTTGACGTTCTGGCTGATACCCAAACAAGGGATGAGCTGGAGATGTCTCTGCCTTGGTCCTTTCACTATTGGCTGCTACTTCCCGGCGGATGTCAGGTGGTGCAATACCAGCTAAGCAGTGTAATTTCTCCAGTGGTGTAGGGCGCAGACACCCTGTGATAATGCGACATGTCTCATTAAGAGCCACATCCACTGTTTTAGTGTGGTGAGATGTGTTCCACACTGGGCATGCATACTCAGCAGCAGAGTAGCACAGCGCAAGGGCAGATGTCTTCACTGTATCTGGTTGTGATCCCCAGGTTGTGCCAGTCAGCTTTCGTATGATATTGTTTCTAGCACCCACTTTTTGCTTGATGTTCAGGCAGTGCTTCTTGTAGGTCAGAGTACGGTCCAGAGTGACTCCCAGGTATTTGGGTGCGCTGCAATGCTCCAGTGGGATTCCTTCCCAGGTGATCTTCAGAGCTCGGGATGCTTGTCTGTTCTTAAGGTGAAAAGGCACATGTCTGTGTTTTAGATGGATTAGGGATCAGTTGGTTTTCCCTCTAATAGGCAGTTAGAGCACCTAGAGCTTCGGAGAGCTTCTGTTCTACCATCTCAAAGCTCCCTGCTTGAGCAGTAATGGCACGATAATCAGCATAGATGAAACTTTCTGTCCCTTCTGGCAGTGGCTGGTCATTTGTGTAGATGTTGAACATGGATGGAGCAAGCACGCTCCCCTGAGGCAGGCCGTTCTTCTGTTTCCGCCATCTGCTTCTCTGGCCCTGGAACTCAACAAAAAAGCTCCTGTTTTGTAGCAGGTTTCCTATGAGGCGGGTGAGGTGGTAGTCCTTTGTGATATTATACATTTTTCTCAGGAGGAGGCGGTAGTTCACAGTATCATAGGCTGCTGACAGGTCTATGAAGACAGCTCAATATTAAAATACATCATTTAAAACTGTAGAAGGGCCCTAAGTAAACATAAGTGCTATTGAAAGGAAGAAAAACCATGTGAACCATTACAACATGAATATACACCCAATATACAGTATGCCCTCTGCAAACAGCTCCCTGAGCTTATAGTGGCTTTGAATTTTTTTACCTGAATTGCAACTCTCCAGGTTCAGTGGCCTTCCAAGAAGGAAGCTCAGAGGACAATGATGTGGTCGATTCTTCAGAGGAAAAGACTGAAAATGCAACCCATGTTGCCTTGCAAGATTCTTCAAGGACAGAGGAAAACAGTTCATCTGATATTGTCCTAGAAGAAAAAATGAGTTCATTGGATCAACAGAATCAGCACTCATTGAAACATCCTGAAGACACTAAAGAGGATCTCTTCAACCAGGAACCAGTGATATTAGTTCCAAGGCCTGATGACTCAAGGAGGAATACCTCTTTGACAGAAGGTAAGGCAGTGGTATCTTTGGTGGGGGAACTCAATAATCTGTTTCATACTGATTTTTAAATAGCATAATTCACCAATTGTAAGATGTGTTTTTCCCCATTTTAGGGGCTCCAAAAACCAGCGTTATCTTACAAGTGATGGCGTTTGAGATTTGTGGGTTTTTGGTGACCCTAAAACAGTAAAAAATGTTCTTCTGCTTGTTGTTATTAGGGACCTAGAGTGAAGGCAGTGACAAGAGGCAGAGGTGAGAAGTTCTTCAAACCTGTTCTTCCTTCTGCTGTCGAAGGCTTTAATGGCCAGAATCAATGGGTTGCTGTGAGTTTTCTAGACTGGATTGCCATGTTAAAGAATCATCTGTCCAGATGTTTTGCCCACATCTATGTGAGGTCAGACCTCACATCCTCTGAGAATGCCTGCCATAGATGTGGGCAAAATGTCAGGAGAGAATGCTTCTCGAACATGGCCATACAGTCCGGAAAACTTACAGCAACCCTATTATTCCTCGTTTGCTCAAACCAGAGAAACAAAGACCACCATTCTCCTTCGCTCCATCCTTCTTTGCCTTCTCCAGAGCAGCATTCAGCAACAACACGGGAGAGCCCAAATAATGTAATGTGCCTGCAATTTTGAGTACTTAAGGCAGAGTGTAGTGGAAATAGTCATTTTTTAATCAGGGTTTTAATAGGGGCTTACTGTGTAAGTCTCTTAGTATAATTTCTGTATTTTGGTTGGTAGATTTTTCTTTTATTTTGCTGTATGGCCAATCACACTCCCCTTGAGTGTGTTTCCTGGATTTGAAGGCAATGGATTTTGCTGCAGTGGAAGACCGCAAAATAAAGTGAAAGCACTGGCACACAATGCCAAGAGTGGCTTTTCATTTCTGCCTATTGTTACTGCTTTCACACTGGTTCCTTTAGAGAAGTGTGTTGCTTTCCTTGCTCTTTTCCCACCACTTAGTTTTCAGACTACAGAGATTTTTGAGCTAATTTCATTGCAATAAGATGATAGGCTAACAAAGGCAGAGGGACAGGACAGACACACACACAAGACAGCACAGTGGGATGCTACCACTGTATATTATATATAAATTACTATTACGATGTTATATATTTCTTTGGAGCCCTCGGTGGCGCTGTGGGTTAAACCCCCGCACAGGCAGGACTGAAGACCGACAGATCACAGGTTCGAATCCAGGGAGAGGCGGATGAGCTCCCTTCATCAGCTCCAGCTCCTCATGCGGGGACATGAGAGAAGCCTCCCACAAGGATGATAAAAACATCAAATCATCCGGGCGTCCCCTGGGCAACGTCCTTGCAGACGGCCAATTCTCTCATACCAGAAGCGACTTGCAGTTTCTCAAGCTGCTCCTGACACGATATAGATTTTTTTGCTGCCACCAATTTATTATTAAGGTTTCTTTTATGCCACCATTTATAGGCCACCACCTTCACTAGAATGCTCAAGAAGACACATGAATTCTACAGGTGAAAATAAAACAAGAATATTATGTTTATTTTGTTCTTGAACAGTAAAGATGCATAGTGGTTTCAATAAATAATAATAATAATAATAATAATAATAATAATAATAATAATAAACCTTTATTTATACCCCACTACCATCCCCCGCAGGACTCGGTGTGGCTTACAAGAGGCCGAGCCCAAATACATCATAAAACATAACAACAACAATACAACAATAAATAACTCATAACAAAGCAAAACAATACAATAATGACACGATGCAATTAAAAACCTGTGGCAGGGCCAAATGTAAGGATTAAAATTTAAAATGCTGGGCATGTCCAAGGGAAATAGGWTGGATATTTTAGAGATAGGTGGGCGTGCAGACAGAACTAAATCTCTCGTAAAGTGCATTTGGGACATATTGCTTGGGAYTCCTTATTCTGGGAAGGCACACTGGAACATCCACGTTTTCAAGCTCCTTCTAAAAACTGCTAACGTTGGGGCCTGCCTGATGTCCTTGGGGAGGGAGTTCCAGAGTTGTGGGGCCACCACCGAAAAGGCCCTGTCCCTCGTCCCCACCAATCGCGCTTGCGATGCAGGTGGGATCGTGAGCAGGGCCTCTCCAGATGAACGAAAAGATCATGTGGGTTCGTATACAGAAATGCGGTCACGCAGGTAGATGGGCTTTAATACAAACAGGTTGTTTAAAACCTTTTGAATCCTCTTTCCACACCAGCACTCTAAAACTATAGAGGCTCACTATCTTTCTTCTTCTTCCTGAATGCATTAATTACTTTCCTCAAAGAGGTATCTTTCGAATAACAGTTCCCAAACTCTTCCTTTCTTCCTTCCCCTTCAAATCTCCTAAAACGAACTCTTCAAACTCCAAACTATCAAAACTCTGACTGCATTATCTCTTTCCTTCCCTCTGGTTCTGCCCATCTTGGCTGCTAAGCAACTCCCTCCAATTTCATCAGCCAATCAGACTACTCTTCCAGCTATAAAGCTGCCTATTAGGGCTGGGCAACCACGGAAAAAATTGTTTCTAAACTCGATTCGTTTTTTGGGGGTTTTTGCGTTTTGATATTTAAATGAATTCCGAAATTTTTCTTTAAAAAAGTTCGATATTTACGAAATTTCGTAAATTATGAAACGATTTCGAAACGATTTCAAAACGAATACGAATCTATTCGTTAATGGCGGACGCGACCGTGCAATACGCTAAAAAACCTCCATATGGGACAGGGGGAACTTTTGAAGCTTCCCTCTCCCTCTGTTGTTGACTGTTGGTGTGATATTTATAAATTTTTTTCACTAATTAAACAAACAACAGCTGTAAAATTTGCCCCAGACATGCGGAAATAATAACAAAACGATTTCGAAGCGATTTCGAAACGAATACGAAACAAATACAAAGCAATTACGAAACGAATTGAAAAATTCGTTTCTTTTTTCAGATGCTCCTGAATGGTTCAAAATCGCTTCGTTATTAAAAAAAATAACGAATTTTTAACGAATTGCGAAATTACGAAACGAAACCGCCCAGCCCTACTGCCTATCTCTTCTCTCCCCTGTTCTCCTTAGCTTTTCCAAGCTAGGCCTGTTATTGCCTGTATACCAACTTTGTAAGGTAGGCTAATCCATTACATTCATCATGATCTGTTTCCACCATTGTCCGGTGGATTTGTCAACCCAGCTTTTGTTTTTTAAAAATTCAATTTATATACAAGTACATACAGCGTGTAAATCCTTGCTGCAATACTTGAATAAAGTTTACCAGATATTCTCTGAGTGTATTGTAAAATATACAAGAGCACCTGATTTGCCCCTTCCAGTATCCTTTAACTGACCACTTAACACTTTCCTTGTATAAATCTAACTGCTGGATAACCACCAGTTTACCTTCTGTAATGTTCCAAATTATTTAAATTAAACTGAAGTGCTTTCTTTAAAAAAGTTGTAGGAAACACAGTTTCCAAATCAGAGACTGGAGAGGCAAGCCAATGCCTTACACAAGAAGGACGCAAAGAGAGCACAATTAAATTAATGGCGAATTGTCTGCTTCTTGCTCTTCGAGGTAATGATGAGAATACTTCCTGTATATATGTATCAAATAAGCACGTATAAGTTTTTTAATCACTTTTTAATATATGGAAACAGAGAGTTTGAGTCCTCTTTGTTTTTGAAATATTACTACAATTGGGTTGCTGTGAATTTTCCAGACTGTATGGCCATGTTCCAGAAGCATTCTCTCCTGATGTTTTGGCCACATCTATGGCAGGCATCCCCAGAGGTTATAAGGTCTGTTGGAAACTAGGCAAGTGGGGGATTATATATCTTTGGAAAGTCCAAGTTGGGAGAAAGAACTCTTGTCTGTTTGATGCAAGTATGAATCTGTTGGCCACCTTGATTAGCATTTAATGGCTCCCAACAAAGGATCCCCCAGGCAGCAACCAGCCAGGCTTTGAAGCTGTAAGTCCATTAAATGCGAATCAAGGTGGCCAATTGCAACATTCACACTTGTCTTTAGCAGACAAGAGTTCTTTCTCCCACCCTTGATATTGCATAGAGTTTAGGAGGGGATAATTTGGAATAGAAATGCAGGAGGAGGTCCCATATTCAGATTTACCGTGTAAGGCTGTGATGAAGACTATATCGTGTAATGAATCCCTTACCTTAGCTAGCTGGCTAAAGCCTAAGAGAGTGGGCCTGGCGAAGCCACAGCATTCATTTTGGAGAAGGGAGACAGGGAGACACCATCTTAGGTTAGGTTTGCCTTGAGGGGGGCATGTTCTAGTCTCGGAGGGAAAGTTAGGAGGTTAGGATTGGTTAGAAAGATTGGGGCAGAGCCAAAGTGATCTAAAGGAAAACGTGTCTTTTAAACTAAGGTTTGAGGTCCCAGTTGGCCAGCTGGAATTTGGAAAGGGTAGAGAGAAGAAGTGTGGGTGTTAGCAAGAGCACTTTGGGTTTTGAAGAAGTTTAGGTCAGTCTTTCATAAAGTATTCAGGGTTGCTATAGAGAATATAGCTAGAATACTGTGTGGAGCAGCAGCCTGTTAGTGGTCTGTTCATTTCCTAAGGAAGTCTAGTTCAAGGTTTTTGGCTAGATTCCTAAGGGGGATTTTTGGGAGTTACGTTCAGAGATTCATTTTCTGAAGTAATTTTCTGTATTGAAACTTTTAAGACTTGTAACCCAGAAGTTTTTAAGATCTTTACTCAAACACAACCACAAGCTTTTTATGCCAGTATTTTACTGAAACCATTAAGCATTTGTACCTGACTAATTCAAGCCTGTTCAATAAACGTTCTTGATATTTTTATCAACTTATACCAGCCTCAATGTGAATACCTTTGTGTCAAAGCATTATTCAAGTCAGCCTTTAACAGCCTCTAAGGAAACTATAGTGACACAGAGTGTGTTACTGAACAACCTCTCAATATTACCTCAACCTGTTTATTATTAATATGGTGGCAGCGGAACTCTTTTGAAGAATCATTTTAAGTCTCACAGATCCAGTGGTTCCCAGTTCCTAACTTTTAAATACACAGTTGGTTCAGCAACCATACTTCCTCTATATTTTTGGTGAGCTAGTCAGTAGTGGAGGTATCATCGCTATAATTTGGCTGGGCAGCGTTGGGATTATTATACATATATTTCCCCGTATATACATTTAATTTAAAATCTTCTCTACTACCCACTGTGTTGTTATATATGGCCTTCCAATTACTCTGTTGACTTTTTTCCAAGTTGTCTTTTTTTTTCTAAATTATCCTTTCTCCATTGTCAATTTCCCAGGCTTGCCCTTTCATGGAATTCTGGGAGTTCTGGTGCTTTTGGTTGCCATTTTCATCAGCAGTGGCTACTATACTTCCTATCCCATGGTTGTGCCAAAAAATCCAGCTGTAGAGGCCTTCCTGTCAAGGTTTGATCCACTGAAAGACATCTTCCCAGATCAGAGCCCTCACCTGTGGGGACGTGTGCGGAAGGTCCTGCAGAAGCACCTCAATCTTTCTCACCACACTGAGCCGGCCATCTTAATATTTACAGCGGCACAGGAAGGAGAAGCAACTTTGAAGTGCCTGAGCACTCGGATTGCTGATGCCTACTCATCATCCCTCCAGGGCACCACTGTCCTGGTTGACGGAGCTTCAAAATCCACACTAAACAGTGACCGTGCCAAACTGGACGTCGATGAAGAGCTGAGCTTGGGCTTTCACGGCGGGGGGAAAGCAGCAGTGGTGCACCAGTTTGAGTCGCTACCCGCAGGCTCCACCTTAATCTTTTATAAGTACTGTGACCATGAGAGTGCAGCTTTCAAAGATGTTGCACTGATTTTGACTGTTTTGTTGGAGGATGAGAAACTGGAGCCGAATATTGGGTTGCAAATGGTGGAGGAACATGTGCGGGACTTTCTCTGGGCCAAGTTCACCAAGTCAGACATGCCCAGTTCCTACAACCACATGGATACAGACAAGCTGAGTGGGTTGTGGAGCCGCATATCCCACTTAGTTCTGCCTGTTCATCCAGTACAAACTCTAGAGGACAGAGGTTGCTCTTTGCAAACCAAACCAAGAGGTGACCCAAGTGAGCCCCCAGGGAAAGCCTGAACACCTTGGAGGATTTGCAGCAGAGATTATTTCCTCTGAGCCATGCAGGGATCTCGAGTTTTAATGATGACTGTGTTGATTTTTTAAAATCAATTAGACATTTAGATGTCACTTTTGATACTTGGCAATATATTAGAGAAGAAATGAGTAATATATTAGATTTTTTTGCAGCTGGTTGCACACATTGACACGCAATCTAGGGAGTGGTTTTAAAGTTAGATAGATTATGAGGGGCTGATACTTGACTCTTGCACATTATATATTTTGAATATTTTTGCCCCTGGAAGTCAATGGACAGGATACAGAGACACAGAAAACAGTCCTTCACAGAATCAGCCCTTCTCGAGAGTTATTTTTACAGTGAGTGCTTCTTTCAGCTTTGTTTCCCCGGTGGCACAGTGGGTTAAACCCCTGTGCAGGCAGGACTGAAGACCGACAGGTCGCAGGTTTGAATCCGGGGAGAGGCAGATGAGCTTCCTCTATCAACTCCAGCTCTTCATGCGGGGACATGAGAGAAGCCTCCCACAAGGATAATAAAAACATCAAATCATCCGGGCGTCCCCTGGGCAACGCCCTTGCAGACGGCCAATTCTCTCACACCAGAAGCGACTTGCAGTTTCTCAAATCACTCCTGACACGACAAAAAAAAAAGCTTTCTTTCATCTAGAACAGCTTTCTTTCATCAAACTAAGGCCCAGGGGCCAAATATGGCCCTTCAAGGTCATTTACCCGCCCCTCACTCAGGGTCAACCTAAGTCTGAAATGCCTTGAAAGCACACAACAACAACAACAACAACAACAACAACAACAATAACAATCCTATCTCATCAGCCAAAAGCAGGCCCACACTTCCAATTGAAATACTAATAAGTTTATATCTGTTAAAATTGTTCTTCATTTTAATTATTGTATTGTTTTAAAGTGTATTTTGCACTACAAATAAGATATGTGCAGTGTGCATAGCATTTCATTTTTTTTTTTCAAATTATAATCCGGCCCTCCAACAGTTTAAGGGACTGTGACCTGGCCCTCTGTTTAAAAAGTTTGAGGACCCCTGATCTAGAATGTGGTGGACACTTGTGGCTGTCCAGATTTTTTTATTTTATTTACCGCAACATACTATTAGTTGGCTAGGCTACAGGTGGCCCATCCAATGAAGATGAAATTCTTGTATGCAAATTGACTGCTTATTCTATGGCAGAAATTGCTAACCGAACTTGCTGATCAAAAGGTTGGTGGTTCGAATTCAGGAAGCAGGGTGAGCTCCCCCTGTTAGCCCCAGCTTCTGCCAACCTAGCAGTTCGAAAACATGAAAACGTGAGTAGATCAATAGGTACCGCTTCTGCAGGAAGGTAATGTCGCTCCATGCAGTCATGTTGGCCACATGACCTAGGAGGCATCTACAGACAACACCGGCTCTTTGGCTTAGAAATGGAGATGAGCACCACCCCCCAGAGTCTGTCATGACTAGAATTAATGTCAAGGGGAAACCTTTATCTTTTGTATTTTGTAGTATTCAGCTGCTACTTTATATTGTCTTATCACACACAAAAATCCGGTGGCGCAGTGGGTTAAACCCCTGTGCCGGCAGGACTGAAGACCGACAGGTTGCAGGTTCAAATCCGGGGAGAGGTGGATGAGCTCCCTCTATCAGTTCCAGCTCCTCATGCGGGGAGATGAGAGAAGCCTCCCACAAGGATGATAAAAACATCAAGATCATCCGGGCATCCCCTGGGCAACATCCTTGTAGACGGCCAATTCTCTCACACCAGAAGCGACTTGCAATTTCTCAAGTCACTCCTGACACGACAAAAAAAAAAAATCAGCCTCACATTAGTGATCTTTCATAGCAGCAACCAAAATGACATAAAAGTATGCAAGCTTTTGTGATTGCGAACAATTTTGTTTCCAGAGAAGCAACCAGTCTGCAAGAGAAACCTTAAGTCAATCATGCACAGAATATGTATCCTCTTTATTCGTATTTACTGCAAAAATCTGCACAGACTGTGTTTAGGGAATGTGGGATATCCAATGTTTTGAATGAGCAAACAACTCATGAACATTTGCAAAAATGTTTTGCACACATAAAAAATTCCCAGGAGTTCTGAAAATGGAAATAATTATGTTTCTCAGCCATCTTTGATTGATTGGGTGTCTAAAGGCTGGGGATTTTAGAAAGTTTATAAGTATTCTTTCATCCCTAGCATTTACACCAAAGATGGCAGCATATTGTACAAGGATCCTTTCTATTGTACAATGCAATCGTTTCATGGTATTTAAGCAATTTAAGTATTAATTGCTATTCTTTCCTTACTGCATAATTTACACTTAATAGTGCAATTCTCTCTTGTGTGTGTACTCAGAAGTAGGCTGCCAACTTTGGATTTGCCATGTGTGCTGTACCTCTATCAATTTTTTTATCCCAAGCAGTAGAATCATAGAGCTGGAAGAGACCACATGGGCCATCTAGTCCAACCCCCTGCCATGCAGGAAAAGCACAATCAAAGTACACCTGACAGATGGCCATCCAGCCTCTATTTAAAACAGTGGTTCTCAACCTGGGGTCCCCAGATGTTTTTGGCCTTCAACTCCCAGAAATCCTAACAGCTGGTAAACTGGCTGGGATTTCTGGGAGTTGTAAGCCAAAAACATCTGGGAACCCCAGGTTAAGAACCACTGATTTAAAAGCTTCCACCACAGTAAAAAAGGTCATGATAATTCATGTGCACCTCCATGCACATCAGTTTCTGTGCATAAAGCTGCATTAAAAGGCCCACTGGCAACACAGCTAATGAGTAAATAAACAAGTATGCAAAATTACAAGCCTAATTTTCAGTAACACTAAACACCTATGTCAATAAAGCTAAGAATAAAAATAAAACTTTTGAAAATGTCTTCTTGCTTTTTGTGTAAAACAAAATCCAGTGTGAAAAAGATTCCAATAACTCTGAAGGCCCTTCCAGACAAGCCCTTTATCCCAGTATCTGGATCCCAGGTTTTTTGTTTCTCCAAGATTATCTGGCAGTGTAGCCTCATAAAATCCAGTTCTCCCAAAACTCACCAGAATGTAAAGTATGTCATGGAGAGTCTGTGTGGGAAGTGTGGTCCAGGTCTGTCAGTTGTGAGAGTTACAGTAGTCTCTGGATGTGGATGAAGGTACTGCAAATCCCATCATTTGTGGTCCATCCTTCCCCAAACCACACCAAGACATAAAGTGGGTCATGGGGGTCTGTGTGGCAAGTTTGGTTCAGGTCCATCATTCTTGGGGGTTACAGTGGTTTCAGGAAGTGAGTGAAAGTACTGCAAATCCCATCATCCATGGCAAGTGTGGTCCAGATTCATCGGTTGGGTTCACAGTGCTCTCTGTATGTAGGTGAACTATAACTCCTGTAAATCATGGTGAATTCTTCCCAAACCTCTTGTTCAGTGGCTGATAAATTCTTTGTTGTGTGCCATACGGCAGGGTAGGAAACTGTTAAGGGTTAGGGTTGCCAGACCTGGTAAAAAGAGAGGGCCTTTTCTTTACATAATTATAGTTCTATGATTCCACTTGAATTACTATAGTTACACCATGTAGAACTTGGGTTTTGAAGGTGCATGAGGTGTTCTCCAGGATTTTGGTAGACTGTTTGTTTCAAGGAAAAGTCTTATTGTCTTCAAATAGGACTTTATTTGTTAACAAATAGTGGGATCAGCCAACATAGAACATTATTTTTTCAGAACTGAAGATCATCCTTTAAAGCAATGTTTCTCAACCTGGGAGTCAGGACCTCAGGGGGGAGGGGGTTGCGAGGGGGTTTCAGAGGGGACACCAAAGAAGGATGAAGGATGAATACAACATGTTTTGATCCCTAGTTCATACCAGATATCATGCTCTGGACAATGCAGTGGAGGGGAATCTGTTTTGCACCATTGGTCAGTGGCTTGTGCCATGCAGATAATGCTTTCTTGCATTTTCACAAGGTGCTGTACCAGAGATATACCAAGAGATGGCACTGTGGCCCTCTGGGTGTTAATAAAAACTAACTTGTATACCCATGGTTACCTGTGTTAGGTATTTTCTAATGCTATTTATTAAAAATAATAATTGTTTCAGTGTGGATTTTATGAATGATCCCATTAGAAAATACATAACTGTATAATAGAGCCATTTATGAAATCATGCAGCTGATGGGGTAGAGTCCCTTTCAGCCCAAAACCTGGTTAGGCTGCAACTCTCATCAGGTCCAGATATGGCCAGC